CTGCACCGCCAACGTTCTGCGCAAAAGCGCAACATCAAATTCCTGTTGGAAAACCAGGCTGAGCTAATCGCCTCACATCGTGCATCCTAGATCCTTGCCTGGTCGACACTCAATGCGGTGAATAACCCGTCACTTACCAACAACCAATTGACCCCGAATACGATCTGTAATCTGCGGCTTGATGGTCACGCAGACGGAAGAGAGGTGACCTGGCAACCTGGCAGCCCTGTCAACAGAAACGCGGCACAGTCAAGCGGCAATCTATTGCGACACGACCGTGGGCTGTAGTCGGTGTGCCTGGCTTCACTCACGCCCAAAGCCGCTTACGCCAGGCCGATTCTTTCCCTTTGTAGCAAGCCAGGGCCGATATGAGAAGCAACGAACAGCAAAATCCCCGAGCGAAGCTGACCGACAGGGAATGGAATCCCAGACCCCATCCTGCAATAGCGGTTCCAAGCTCTCGGGTTCAAGTTCTGCGCCAGCACGCCCTGTCCTCCATGCTCTACGGTAGTTTTCCGAAAGCAATTAGGACGAGAGCCGATTCCCAGTTGGCTGGTTGACGTGTCTTCGTTTGCCAACGAGTCAGAACTATCACAACTACCTCAACTTGAAAGACCTGCTTGCTGTCCTACATCATTTGGCTGAGATCAACGCTTGCGAGGACTGCCAGAACGTGGCCAGCAGCGGACAGCACAAGCCGTTACCTTTTATTTGCTCTTTTGTTGACTTCACATCGGGTGACATCATCCTTTTCCAAGTCATCTCATCACAGCTTACTTAGCAAATATGGCCATGTCAGCATGGTGGTAGGAAATATGTCGGACCGCGATTGCGAAACTACCTTACTGTCGACATCGACCTTGACGACGAATCTCTTTACTCTATTTTGCAATGAGCTACCCAACTCAGTCATACCAATCATTGACTCACGTCCAAACAAAGTGAGTCGTCGTGAGTGACAGGGTTGAGACTCAATGCCTGGTGTGATAGCCAAAACTGCCTCAACCCTCTCCTCTGCTGATGGTTGTACGGAGTCGATCGAGAGAAAAGTTGACCAACCGCCAACCGCGGTGGTACCAGTCCAATGGACGTCTTGAAATTGCTGTGGCTATTCCCGAATCGATTGAACGAGGACGAGCAACAACAATCCGAAGGAGTTTTTTAAGCGCCCTCGGTACCACTAGGTTCCCACATCTTTCATCATCAGCCGCGAAGAAGCAGGCTCATCACAAACAACCCAGGCGTGTCGCCCGTTCGTCAAGTGTGAAACCTTGGCCTGTCGTACGGATACCTTGGCTGGTCTTGCTGTGCTGCACGCACATCGAGGACCCTCAACGGGCCGTACCACGGCGTCTGTACATGTGTCTGAGGCTTGGGTGCGAGGTGCGCTCACAAATAGTGGCATATTCGTACCTAGTACCTACACAATCGGTCGATGCATGCTGCACACTTCTGATTGAGCAATCGAACACGGAGGGGCCTAAGAGGCTAGATGTGAACATTGCCAGTGGGCCTCTGCGATGAGATGAAGACGATCGGTGGCTCCATGGACCATTACATTGTCTGTACTCCTCCAAGGGATTTCCGATGAGGAAGCGGCACCTTAACGGCTATGCAATCTAAATGGAACCCCACTGGACAAGATCACGTCGTGGGGGGTTCTGCACTAATACCCGCTGCAGGTATGTTGCCGGGGGGGGGGGCATCAGTGAAGAGCATCATCCTCAGCAAGGCGCTTGAATAAGCACGCGGCTGAGCTGAGGGTTACATGCAGGTGGGTGCCTTTGAAGGGCTGCTTACTGATGATCCCATCAGATTATACTTGCTGCTGATCCCTTGACCCGTGGACCAGTTCTGGAGAGGAGCTCGCTTTCAAGGGGGGGGGGGGCGGGCCACGATGGGCTCCCCGGTGATTGCTCGGTGCTCACACCCGAGGAGCCGTTCGTTGACGATTGAAGGGTTATAGGTACACGGTCTTTGCAGCTTTCTACGTGTACGGATGCGGATGGCCGATGGAGACATTGCGCAGCTCTACGGATACGGGCTTAGCATTCGATATTTTTCCCCTTACCTGTATCTGTAATGCAGGATGCAACGTCGGTACTTGGTCGGTATCCACCAAGTCGGAATGAGGCCGAGGAAGACGCGGTTTGCCTACGGATACTCCTATCCTCTTATGGTGCAACGTACATTATGAGGTCGTACTCCGTACGGTGAAGGACGAGGCCTTTCTCTTTGAAAGGAAAGCAGGGCCCGGCCGTAATCCTCTTCCCTTCCCCCCTCGGTTCCGTCCTCGAGTTGATTTAGCCTCCGCGGGTTTCCCGATGGTTTCCAGCTGATGAGGGTGATTGTCTGCCCGTGGCAATCTGGCTGCCCCGTGGGCCTATGCTCAACTCCTTGGATAGCCGAGCCGAGTGACGCCAGCCAGAGAGGCTATAGGTCATCTTCCCGAGGGCGAACATCGAGAGGCGGATGGACCGTGGATTTTTTTCCGATCGTGTGCTGTCGGAAGCGCGGCGGCAGATGTCTTCAGGGTCCGCCGATCAAGGGTGGCTTTTGTAGCTTGTGGCTCGCAGCATGAGCCGCTGGCCTCTGCCAACGTAGTGGAGGGATCGTGGGACGGACCAACCTTTTAGTTTGCTTCTCCACGGAGAGTGGAGGGGTTTCTCTCCTCGAAACTTGAGTTGGGCTCTCAGGCTTTCTCAATGTTGGTGTATGCATGATGCGGTCCTGGAGGAATAGGTGAGGAACGATCGGACAGCGCGATGGTGGGGGTATGCGCATTGTCAAATTTGCGATTTTTTTTAACATGATAATAGATGCGCGCATGTTCAAACATATTTACTGGGATTCTACTTCGAGAGAAAAGTTCCAGTCGACAACATCGTGGCTTTGGAAGCATCTGATCAATATCATCAATCAAAGTAGTGGGTTTCAATCATAGCGACCTGTCCTCGAAGTTTTCTAAAAAAAATTTATTTTCAATTTTTAATTTAGGATGTCATCTATGATAGCTACGTGAACGACTACTTTCTGGGCTATATTTTCAACTGCCATTTAAAGCAAAGGCTATTCTTACAGACGAGAGAAATTTCAGTATCACGTCAGTGACTCTCGTTGCCTATTTACCTAATACAACCGTTCGGCGTGTCTGCTCATCTTTGGACCTTGCCTAAGGACCAATGAGCTCCGGCTCTCAGCCTGTTTGTGTTATAGGACCAATTGTTGCTGGTGTGAAACTCGAGAGGTAAGTTCAGAGTAGAAATCCAAGGCTAGCCACCCCTTGTTTCTCTGCTCTTGCTCGGGGGTTGTCCAGCAATGGGCTAGCTTTACGAGGAACTTCCTGTTAGAATGCAAAATGATGTGATACTTGGCCATGTGTACGATGGATGGCGAAGCCCGACTTGGAACATACTTGGATGATTATCCAGGGCGAACCTAGGACTCGAGGCCATCTCACAGTGCCGTGGAGAGGAAAGATAGTCGCATTGGAATAGAGAAAAGGGGGCAAATGGGAGGGGGAGGGGACGGAGCTGTGGCCATCTTACTTCCTGGCTATCTCCATTGAAGTGTGAGCAGGGAGAAGGAGCTAGCTACCTCATTCCTCTTTGTTTCTCTCCTCTGGACTCTCTGTTCAAAAGTCAGTTTCTCTTTAAGAGTAGGGTGGGGAACGAGGAACATGTGTCCAGCTAGAAGCACTCCCTTCCGCGAGTGAAAGATATCTGGTTACAGACCGTGTGTCATAATTTCTTCTTTCGCCACGAGGAATGCTTCCTTCTCATCAACAAAACGGGTCGAGCGCCATATCGACATCACCCACATGGCTGATTTGGGTCTTTTCAGCGCCATTCATACATGTCACTCACTGGTAATCTCTCCTCTTGTCTTGTCTTCTATGGCATCTAATCAAACATCACCGCAACGAGACAGATAGGGAACGGGAACAGATGCCGGTAGGGGGAGGGGTGGCGACGTAGGTGGGAGGGAAGAAACCCCCCAAGGGCAAGTTAGAGTTTGAAACAGAGACATCAAGGCGAGCAAAGATGATAAAAGGCGAGTCCCGCCGACTCATTGATTCCAGAGGCCAACACACCGCCGAGATCTAGCATGCTGCACAGCACCCATATCGGAGGTGTAAGGGGCTTTGAATCATGTATGAGAGTACATCGTCAAGCCAAGACAGGACGGCAAGGTCCGTTTCACAAAGCGGTATACGGAGCCAAGACTGACATGGAACATCTCACTTCGACAGAAAAGCCGAGTAGCGGGCCGATAGGTTGGGGGGAGGGGGAGGAGAATATTGTGGTAGCAGGTTCTATTCTAGTGAGTCAAAAAGAACTCTATGATTTGCTGTTGTACACAGCTTCTTTTTTGGTTTGAATTCATTTTTGATGGTTCTGTTTGTCGTGCAATGAAAGAAAAGGGCCGCAATCCCAATCAAGGTCCAGATGCAAAGTAACCACTTCGCTCTGACCCGTCTGCCCTGTCGGCTTTGACTGGGGTGAGTCTTCTTTCCTTTCCTCTCCCCCGCATATTACCCCTTTGTGGTTGGAACCATCCACATTCTCATCCCTTCCCATAGTCTCTGTGAGCATGGCAAGCCTCTCAAATCGTTTCCCAGGGCATGTCTCTCCGTGATTTTGAGATGCATGTGCTTCGGGATACATTGCCCTTTTGTGAGTAAGGTTCTCAGGTTCTGGCTCTTGGCGATAGCGGTAAACGGAGACCAATTTAGGAAATCCAATTCCGTTGCGTTGCAAACGGCTTCGAGGCATTGCATCGATAATGGGGTCCGGCTCCCATTCCAGAAGAAAAATAAATCAAGTTGAATGATGCTGAATTTTTGGGCGAGTGGCCGGTCTCTAGCCTCTGCCCTTTGCTAGTCTACAAAATCGAAATTCCATAGGCAATGAAGTCGAGGCCGATACGCCTAGAATCGAAAGCACTTCCCTCCTCGTACGCTTCGAAAGCGTCGATCATGCAAAAACGCGTGTTGTTTCTTACCACTCGTATTCGCCAGTGGCCTTGTGGAAGACATACTCCTTGCCGTTGACAGTAAGAACGCCATCTTTGAGGACGCACTTCCACTTGTTCTTGACGCGCTGGACCTTGTCGTACATGCAAAGCATAATATGCCCGAGACCCTCATCGTCGACTTCATCGTCATCCTTATCTTCATCAGGGTCGTCAAGATCTGAATTGATCGCGTCTTCGTCAACTTCGTCATCATCGTAACCATCGTAAGAAGCAATTCCATGCTCCTTGCCCTTGGAGCGCGCGGTGGCAGCCGACGTATGCCTCGTAGCCTCCTTCAGAGGCAGCATCAAGCCGCCGCCCTCCATGCTCTTGGCGTTGGCAGCAATCCGCGCATGAATCATGCGGTCAATATCGACACGTCCAAGCTCGCGTTGAGACCCATCAGCATTGCGTTGGAGCAGAACGCCTTCAAAGTCGAAGTCGTCACCAGCACCATCGGTCTGCGAAGGATTCACACCTGGCTGACCGTTGCTAGGGGGGCGCTGCTGTTGCTGGCCCTGCTGAGGAACTCCAGGTCGGTACTGTTGCTGCTGCTGCTGCTGAGGCTGACCGGGCATCTGGGGCAAAGGCGGTTGGCTGGCGGGCCTGTTCGTCGCTGAAGCTTGAATGGCATTCATGGAGGCGGCGCCTTTCTCGCCGAATTGACCGCGCACGTGTTGAGCGGCTCTGTAAGCTGCGAGCCCAGCACTATCTTGTTGAGCTGGGGGCATCGGCACGTTCTGCATGCCAGGCTCCGGCTTGATGTAAGGCTCCTCCTTGACAGCCATATTACTGGCCTGTTGCGCCGGGGCTCCGCCAGGTATCGGGAGACCGGGCACCGGAAGCTGGGGGCTGAGCTGGGCCTGGGAGTATGGAGCCGCAGGCGGTGGAGGGGCCGTCGTCGGAGGTTGTGCAGCGGGAGCTGGAGCTTCCTTGGCGGGATCCCATGGGAAGCCAGCCACCTCGAGTTGAGTCAGCTTCTCCTGCCAGCCCTTCTTCAATTCTTCCAGGACGCTCTCATCAACACCACCTTCCTCGAAATCGACTCGCGAGGAGTTAATCACCTCATCGATGATTTGTGAATAGACCGCGCCAACTGCGTTGTTCGACATGGTGCCGTTCGTTGGTGGTTGTCAACAGCGTAATTGTCGAAGAAGCAAAGCCGTGTCAAGCCTCGGTACCGACGAGACCGATGTGTTTTGACTTCCGTGGTCGCACCTGCTCCAACCTGATACCTCCTTCCTAACTGTATTCGAGTACCGTAAGGTCCAGCAGCCGTTGAAAGGGTCGCGAATACGTAATGGGGAAATTCGCTTCGCAAGGTTGCTGTTTGGTCGTCGATGGGCAATCGTCTGCTTACTCCGCTACTTCTCGCTGCCCAAAATGGCATGCGCGTGTATAAATTCGGTATTTGCGGGTAAGGAATCAATTGCTGAACAGACCTCGATCGTTGGTATCGTGAAGTTCAGATGTAGACAGGATGTCTGGCTAGGCCCTGTTTTTCGCTTGGTGATATGTATGGGTCAAGGTTGACTTGGTTCGGCGGGATTGGTTTTGAGGCTCGAAGCCGGCGCTCGCCTATTAGTAAGCTTGGGCGGCAGCCGCACAGTGGGAAGGCTGAACTCAGGAGCAGCCGTGATCGCTGAAGGATCCACACTCCCCGCTGGCACTGATTAAGGTAGATAGCCCGATAGTAAGCCAATGTGAATTGGGTAAGTGACCTAGGTTGAATCCGGAATGCGGGGTGAAGTAGAACCTCAGTTCGCAACTACACTGGCATGCGGTTGTCAGAAAAAGTGGCACATACATAAGCAACCATCAACGTAGAGTAACAAAACAAAAAGTAAATTATTCAAATCTATTAGAAATACTCTCAAAATAAAAGCATTTTAAAGATTCATAATTAGATGGAAGAAAGATTAATTAAGTTGGAGGAAAAAAGTGAATAGCTGCCTCAGTGTGCCAATTTTTTTGTTCGACCGCGTGACTGGTTATTACAGATGCGAAGCAATGCGCTGCAAGATGAATAAGTTTAGGCAAGAGACAACTGTTTATTCTGTCCGTTTAATCAACAGCACACAGAACCCAGGCACAACGCTACTTGGTGTGCGAACAATTTGAAACCCGATCTCTCTTCATAATAACAGTGGCACTGGTCACTGAACTGCTGTCGTCTTCTAAGATACCTAAGCATGGCCCTGACGGCGCATTCCTTGAAAGAAAAAAGCATTATAGATCTGTCCCATGCGGAACAGCAATGAATGATACCGTCTGTCGTTACTCATGACCAAGCAATTTCATTCCCCGTGGAGAAGCCCTTTCATGCCACGTAGAGTCGGATGAAACAAAACCAAACTCCTTGCTGAAGATGACCCTAACCGACAGGAACCCATGACCGACAAATGCCAGAGGAGATATACCTACATTTGTTGACGTCGTTTGACCGACATTCGCCAGGCTTGGTCGATGATGAGCCGTTTACCGGATGGTCATCTGCTTGACCATGTCGGCCTTGGCTGACGATGTGCCGCTGCCGACACCGGCACTGGCCCCAGCCTTCTTCTCGAAGACCTTCCAGAACTTCAGACTCTCATCGGCAGCTGTGGAGCATGGGTCAGTAATTATCATTACCAGAATTGACATGTTCAAGACTCACCTGCGGTAGCAAGCATCTGACCGTCAGGGCTGAGGCAGCTGTGCAAGACTCTACTCTCGTGCGCGGGAATCTCGACGTTGCGAACCAGCGTAGGGTAGCTCCAGATGCTCAGAGAATTGTCGGGGAAGCCGCTGGAGCTGACGATCTCACGGTAGTGAGGGCTCCATCGGAGGCTGGTGACCTGTGAGCCAGTGTCGATGCTGTTGACGCGAGCGCCAGAGGTGGAGTTCCAGAAGTGGATGTGGCGATCATAAGAGCCACCACCCGTGGCCAGAAGGTTCATGTTCCAGGGGCACCACGCAATGGCCTTAACAGCAGCCTTGTGGTTGGTCTTGGTGAACTTGGGGACAGAGAGCGAGCGGGCGTCCCAGATAGAGACGAGGTTGTCGTTGCCTCCGGTAGCCAACTGTGCGCCATCAGACCGCCACTCCAAACCACAGACTTCAGAAGTGTGGGAGACCAGCTCTGCCACTTTGTGCTCCGCAACGCGGACATCGTGGTTGAAAACCAGTCCGCTACGAGCACCAGTAGAGAGGAGGTGCTTGTTCCAGCCCATGACACCGACCCGGGTGTCGTGGCCAAACATACTGCGGACCTTCTGGGCCTCAGCTACATCCCAAATCTGGACCTCACCGGTGCCAAGACCAACACCGACATACGCACCGTCACCAGACCACTTAACACTGCTGACGTACGTGTCGGGGCTCGTCTCGAGGAGGCAGCTGACACTTCCCTCATCGGCGGACCAGACGTAGACGTTGCGTTCGAGGCCGATAGCAACCTGATTCCCAGAGCTCCAGTCGAGAAGGTTGAGGTAATAATCGTCAATCAGACCAGGAGCATCGAGGACACGCTCAGGGGCTGTAGCAACGCGACGGCGGAATTGGGCTGACGTGGCGCTCGCAGGCTTCAGGGGGCGGTTGTACTGCTGGCGGAGGTCGATGGGCTTGGAAGATTCGGGAGGCGCGGGTTTGAACTGCAGGATGCGGGTGTTGAGGCTTACTCCACAAGCGCTTGCCAGCGAATCCTGGTAAGCAACGGTGTTGGGAGAAGGACGAGAGTATGTGGAGGGCTCCTCGTCGTCGATGTTGAGACCTTCGAGAGCAGCAATGGCGTCCTCCGTTGCGGATGAGAGGACGTTTGACGCTTCACTGAGGCTGGCCTTTGAGCGCTTATCGGGTCGGTCTAGCTTGCTGCTGCCGGCGTTGCAAATGGCAGAGCTGGCGCTGCGGTTGGGAATGAATCGGTCACCGCCATAGTTGACAGTCGTCTTGCTAGTCTTTTGTCTGTGGGAGCTCTTCTTGGACTTGGAGCTGGAAGGTGTCTTGGAGGTTCCCGAGCTGGTCAAGGTGAAATCGGACACGCCAAGCTCGAGGGCCCTGCGAGGAGTGGAAACGCCTCTGGCAATGTTTGACTTGGGGGAGTCGCGGTGAGATGACTTGGTTGTGGTTGATCTAGCCAAGTGCGCGGTGAGGTTGCCACCGTAGGTTGACTTGCTGGATGCTCGATAGGCGTCGCTGCCAGACTGCTTCTCCGGAGTGAAGGGAGAAGAGTTCAGGTTCACTGACACTGAGGTTGTGGAATGCTGACGCGGAGAAGGGGTCAAAGGCATCCGACCGCCGGCGGTGCGGGAGGAGAAGAGACCCTTGTGGGACTTGATGGGGGTGGATACTGATGCAGTGGCCATTTTGAGTAATGTATGTGGGGTATCGGGATAGAAGGGGTTATGATTCTCCAACGGGTGCAGCTTGGCGCACCGAAGGAAGAGGTGTTGAGAGCTCCAAGAGACTCTATCGAAAGGTTCCTGGATATTTTGTGTGTTTTGTTAGTATTCTGTCGGTTGTACTGCTCGATATTCGAAGTAAAGTAGTGCCGTCACTAGAAGGGCTCTAAGTCGGAGGAGCGACCAAATGGCTGATGACAGCAATGAGATCTAGCGGACTTGATTGTTCTTGTGAAAAGGCTTTGATTGATAGGTTTAACCCAGCTCGAAAGCGTAGGAGGGGGGATTCAGAGTGGTAGAGGAGGGAGAGCGGAAGCGAAGAGGTTTGATATGCAGAGAAGGAATCCCGAAGTTGGACAGGAGCTCTCATCATCTTTTATTTACTTGCCGCCCCACCATCATCGCGGCCGGGCAACGACGCTCGGGCCAGCGTTGCCAACTTGAAGTGGGGCCTTCTGACGTTGCACCGTCAGTGTTCCGTCCTTCAGCTTCAGGAGAAGCGATGGGTCACGTGGCTGGCGAGTCGGCTGCAGCCATGAACGAGACAAGCCAATGAATGAAGCGCCGCCTCCCCTGCACACAGCCCGTCTGCAGTTGCCACGACAGAACGCAGGCTGGAGACAGGAGGGTGGTCCGTGATTCCCTAATTAAGAGGCCTTGGTTGTCAATGCAGGAACACCCAGGGTCTGCACCTCCCTGGTGTGCGACGACATCCCATCCTATCTCACTGTCGCCTGCCGTCCCTCTGTCGAACCAGCATTCGGTAGACGAGCGCTGCCATCGCCGCCATCGCCGCCATCGCCGCTACGCCTGGTTCCCCTCGCCATCCGACCGATTACGTGCCGGAGACAGCACAACTTTCGTGATCGCGGATACGCTTGAGATGATTTGTTAGCATCCGCCTTGCCTTGCTGCCCATTATGGCCCAGCCTCAGCCATCACCAGCGACTTCCGGGGCCCTAGCCCAATCTCTCTTCGGTGGACCGACACCTCAGGTCATATCGACACCGATCCAAGCCTCGAATACGCCCACACAACCTACACCATCTCCGATGGATCAAACGCCTGGCTCAGCAGCGTCAAGCAACAACACGTACATCATGCCTAATTCTCCTATCAAGAATAGAGGTACTCTTGATGGCTATCGCCCAAGGGTCACAAGGACTCTGGGGCAGCGGCCGGCCTGCCTTGTCAACGCCTCGGTCACGTACTGCGGCAACAATCACATTTATGCTTTCGGAGGCTTCGACCAGTACACCGACGAAGTCTACAACCATGTCCTCAAATTGGACTTGGTCAGCCACCAGTGGAGCTTGGTTGACAACTACGGCGATATTCCCGGCGTAAGGATGGGTACGTTGTCTCGAGGATGGAGCGTAGCCATTTCCCCTTGCCACGATCTGATCTGACAAAAACCAGGCCATACTGCTACTCTTTACCAAGGTGACAAGCTTCTGGTCTTTGGCGGTGAGAACGAACACCGAACCTACCTCTCGGACTTGATCATTTTTGATTTAAAATCCGCGCATTGGACACAGCCTTCAGTGACGGGACCCGTGCCAAAAGGCCGTGCAAGACATGCAGCAGTCCTCCACGAGGATAAGCTGTTCATAGTTGGAGGTATCACTGGCCACGACAACTACGTTCTGGACGATATCTGCTATCTTGATCTCAAGACCTTCACTTGGTCCCGCTCCTGGCGCTTTGTAGGTCGATTCGACCACTCGGCCTACATCTACGGAGACAGAGTATGGGTCTTTGGCGGACTGTCCGAGGATATGGACAAAATTGGTGATCTCTGGTGGCTCGACCTCAAAGGCAGTCCGGCTTTTGATTCGGCGCCCCATGTTGGGATTTACGATCGCCAAGCTGGCACAAGCCGGGCTGTTGGTTCGCCACGACAACCTTACTCTATGGCCCATCCACCACCCGCTGTTGGTTCCTCAGGTTATGCCGCCAACTCTCGGACTCAGCAAGTCAACCCGCCATCTTTCCAGCTCAAGACCTTTTCGCCGATGGCTCCGGGAACCATCTCGTCCTTGAAGTTCGTCTCTGGACCCAATATACCCTCACAAGGGTCTGGCATTCACTTTCATGTGTATTCTTCGGGCACGCTGCTTGATTTTGTTACGCCGGCCGCAACTATCACTTCCAAAGAATGTTCTCTGTCGGCGTTGGACTTGGGAACGTTGCGATGGCAGAAGCTGGCCGAGGGCCGCGAAATTTTCAAGTCAGGCTACCGATGGCACTACTGTACCATGAATGAGGACGGAACCAAGGCATGGCTGCTTGGATGCCCTACTGACCCTGCCGCGTCGGATTTGGGGCCCAATGGGTTTGAAGAATATTTGAGGTGAGTAATACTGATCAATTATCGAGCGCGCAATTTTTTAATCATCTTCTTGAAGCGACATAATGGAGATTGATCTTCGTCGATACGGCTTCTTAGGAAACAACCTTTCTTCTGAGCCACGCATAGAGTCTAGGCCAACGACGCGAGTAGTCGACCAGCCTTCAAAAGGTCTCGGAGCCGACTTGGCAAAACTCTTTGACCATCCTCCCGAGAGCGGCAGTGGCACTGACTTCATAGTCACAGCCTTGGAGGGCGACTATGAAGACGACGACATGATGACTCGAGTCACCGATGCATCTGCAGGCCAAAACTGGTTGGCGCCTGACGCTCCTACATCCCAACCAATTCACGTACACAAACTCATCCTCCAAGCTCGTTGGCCGCACTTCGCTCGGTTATACAACTCCCAGATGGCCGAATTCCACACGAAGAAGATGCACATCCCCGAGCCATACTCGGTGGTCAAGGCATTTCTCTACTACCTATATACGGACAGCATACACGGAACGTCTGTCAACGAGAGCGGTGCAACCACTGATTTATCTGATGTGGCTGGGCTTCTTGTGATGTCAAACATCTACGGAATTCCGCACCTCAGACTTTTGTGCGTGAACCGACTCTCCAAGGAACTCGACGTTGACCATGCCTGCGTCATCTGGCACTGTGCTGGACTCGCGAGTGAGGAATGGCTTCGCAAGCGGGCGGCACAGTTCTGTCTCACACACTGGGGTCGCATCGTGCGAACCCAAGGTTTCCTTCGTCTGCCACGGTCAGCGCTAGTTGAGCTCTCTCAGGAAATCGACATGGAGGGCCGCGTGGTGGGCGGTGACGAACTGGAATACGTCGGCGGGCTGGGAGGTTCTCGATTCGGCGACGGCTGCTCTGTTGTCAGCCGAAAGGAGAGTGTGAGCAGCAACCACACGCAGCTACTTGACAGCGAAGCCGACGACGAAGATGGCATGGAGATGAGCTGAGTTGGGGCTCACGCTGTTCACACCAGCGTGGCTCAATCTACCACTCCATTCACTTGAGGCGACTCAAGTTGACGAAGGGACTGGCTTTGCCCTCAACAAGATGAACACAGTCAAGGTACAAATTGGCATTGTGCAAGGTTGACTTGCTTTATTCTACCTCAACTCTCATGGCTTTACAAGTAACGAAGAAATGTCTTATGTGGTGGTTCTGGTAGTAGAAAGGTTTATGGCATGGCCAGGTGTTGGTTTGTAGAGCGATTTTGGCTGGGGTTTTTTTTTATTACTTGTATCGTGCTGGAATTGCTGTCTGATAGACATTGATATCCCAGACACAATCAAACGAAGTTTTTCTTGCTTATATCCTTTTGCAACCGTTTAGTCAATTCGTTCATTCAGTCTATTTTTTGGGAGATTGTCGAAAAGTACGAAACGAAATAAAATCATGAGTGAACTTTTCCCAGCCGATGCCCTCCGTACTTTTAACGCCTGCGTGATTTTAAATCAGATGCACACTTCTCTCACACACAAAGAGAGAACATCGCTCTGATTTAAGAGTCAGGAAACAAGAGGAAAAGAACTTTTCAATAGCCCACGAACTAGGCCGAGTCGTTCCTCGTCTGTTTTCCTTCAAGTTCATTGTCTCCAAACTCATTCAAGACTTTTTCCAAACCATCATTTCCACGTTTCTCCCCTGGTCCTTCTTTTAGAGCTTCGTATAACCCCCCGGACATCTTGCGGTTCCTTGATAAGGCGAGCTTCGTTCGCAACGTGAGTTCAGCGGCACTGATCTGCTACTGCTCTAGCAGCAAGAATGAACAGTAGAGCTGGGCCCAAAGAAGCAGCGAACTATCGACAAAGAAAAGCAAACTAGCGAAGAAACCAAAAGAAACCAAACAATGCCGGCCTGCTGTGATGGCCTCATCGCCGTCTAACCTCGACTGTTGCTGCCGAGGCATGTATTAATCTAGAAAGGAGGTGTATCGTGGACGAAGAATCGCAAGCGTTACTGGTAAGTCTATGAGGGTATAAAACGGGAACAGACTCGATCGACCTGATAATCGACCTGGAAACCGTCCGCAAAAGCAATCAAACGCCGCGCCGTATGCCGCAAGCCACCGCATGGCTGAGATATTGAGTCGCGACTTCGAGGCCAAAATCGGGATGCTGCACGCTTCTCGGTGACCCCGGCGAATTTTTCAAGAGTCCCATGAATTGGGTGTGGGGGGATCGCCTGACGAGTTGCTCCCCTACATCATCTGGTCTTCGCCGATTCCGGGCAGATTGGTCATTGAATTCTCCATGAGACCCGGCAGGCTAGCGAGATTGTTGAGCCCTGCGGCTAAGAACTTGAAATCGGGATTGCAAGGTGCGGAGTGTCCCTTGTGCTGTGTTTCCTGTCAGTCACTGCATCATATTTGTTCCCAACATCATGTGTAAACTCACGTATTTGAGACCGTTGAGGTTCTTATAGCGCTTGCCGCACACGTCGCAGGAGAAAGGCTTCTCCTTCTCCATGCCTAAAGTACCGGGGTACGGCGTACTGGTCTCAGGGTTGACGATGGAGAAGGTTCCGTCACCGTTTTCGTGCAGCTGTTGCGTTTGGTGTCCATGCGTTTTGTGGTACCTGTTTTGGACTCTGATTAGCCACCTGTCATGCACCACACAGGGCGCGAAGACTTACTTGAGACCGTTCTGATTCTTGTACGCCTTTTCGCAGCCGATGACAGGGCACTTGAAAGGTTTGTGTTCTTCGGGAATCATCATTGCGCCAAACTTTTGGATCAAAGCCTTGTTTGCCGCGCTATTGGGCTGGCTAGGATCGAAACCCATTCCAATGAGGTGTGCCTGAATGGCCCGCTGCTGGTTGGTGAGAGCACCACCAGGGCTGAATAAGTGCTTGCCAGGATCGTTGATACAAAACTCGGAGCCGGAGTTCCCGAAGCTCACATCACCAAAGTTGGATCCGTTAAGCTCCATATTGCCACCCATGGGCATGCCCGGCAAATCGTCGTCCATGTCGTCCATGTCATCCATGGATTGCATCGGGGAGTTTTGGAAACCGTTATTGGGGCGCTGTTGCTGTGGCGTTTGCTGAGTAGTGAGAGTAGGGGTGTTTACAGATGACACCGTGGGGTTGTGCTGCAGACCAAAGCTTGCGGCTGCAGGCGTTGGTGGCTGGGATGTCCGCAGCCCTTGGGTGAGACCCGAGGCGTTGACGTGCAACTGAGGTCGCTGTTGCTGGCCAAACATTTGCCGAGTCTGGGACATTGTTCTCTGGCTATCGTCCATTTCCATGGTTCCCAGAGCATCGTCCATCTCCATGTCACCGACCGCGTCCATCTCGTCGAATTGCGACATTTGTCCATGCTGTTGTCCTGCCATGTTTTGCTGACCAAGCTGCATCCCCAAGCCTCCCATGCCTCCGCCGAGGTTGGATCCTGGGCGACTTTGCTGTCCAAGCTGTGACATTGAAGTAGTATTCTGCTGCTGTGTCTGCGGTCTTGCGCTACTGGCTCTGGAAGAAGGTTGTGTGGGTATCGCGGCGAATTGGGAAGAAAAGGGCGCATTGCGCGCAGTGTTCGGACTGGGTTGGGTGTGCGATTCTTCATAGTGTTGCAACAGGTCGTGAAGGTTGGGCAAGTTCAAACCGCAACAGGTGAAGTCCTTCATGAAACTTGCCTCAAGCTTGGGCAAGTAGGAACCAGAGTGGAAGGACGGCGAGGCCTGGTGTGCAAATGGTGACGTGCCTGCCATGGCGATGCTAGGTAAACCAGTCAGCGGTAATTCTTGCGCACACGAGCGGCATTGCGACCGATGACATGCCAACGGTCGCCACCGAGGCATATATGTCACGCAGGAATAGGCAGTTAAAGACAGGAAGGCGGGCGAACATACTCATCACGAATGAAGCTGCCGAATGACATTCCTCCCCAGCTAGCGCCAGCGCCCATGAGGCTGCCGGCAAGACTCTCGCGTCGTTGGCGGTTAACATGGTCACGGTTGGGGTTGGCCATAGAAATTGGCTTAGGACCAGCGCTGACAAAGGAGTCCTGACGACTCCGACCCATGGCCGAATCCATGGCTGGGCCAGTGGTCATATCGATACTCTTGGTTGGAATGGGAGCAAAGTCGAGGAGCTCGTCGGGTAGAGCAAATGGGTTTCTGTCGAAGCTGGACTTTGCGGGGCCTGAGGGGGAGGTGGAGGACGGGTCCCTCGTGCTTGTGGGCGTGGCGATTGTGATTGGCTTGGTGGACCAGAGGCCTGCGCGAGAATCACGCACGTCAAAGGGGTCGGTGGGCGTAAGGGGTTGAGAGGAAGGAGAGTTTGGGGTGCGAGAAGAGGAGTTGGAAGATGCTGGTGAAGGAGAAGCGAAGATGTTGTCAGAGGCAGAGCAGGCCGCGGGCAGTTGTGGAGGTGGTGTTGTAGTGGTGAAAGAGGAAGCCGACGCACGATAACTAATATTATCGGCGCTGGCGCAGTCACTTCTGCTGGGCGTGCGCCTGGGTTCGCTGTTGTGGGCGGCGGCGGCGGTGGACCGGGTCGACGGGTCCCTTGGGTCCTCGGTACTTGTTGGGTTGAACCAGCGAAGGGCGCTCCTCATGTCAGCTGGAAGTAGCCGTTGTATTGGGTTTAGGCAGGGGATCCGTGGCTCCCAGAACGTTTCTCGACCCTTTTTGTGGGTACTTATTAAATCGGGCCACTGAATGCAGCCGGCGGATGCGCTCCGAAAAAGGAGATCGAGTCCGCGTCTCGACTAGCAGCGCTGCCGCCGCAATGTGTCAAGAGAAAAAGAGGAGGAGGGGTGTGAGAGAGAGTGTGCGTGTGTGTAGTGTTTGCGTATGTATGCGCAGTGTTTGTGCTGCACCTTTTTTTCTCCTTTCCCAATTTCCCTTTTTTTTTTTTCCCCTCTCAAAGACGAACCGTCGGCTTTGCGAAGATGGGGAATAGGGAATGTGTGGGGGGAGGACTCGACTCGGTGCAAAGGGTACGAAGTAAGGGTGTCGAATACGATTTGCTGGGGGGACTGCGGCGGTGGCAGGCGAAGTTTAAAAAGCGATGGCCCAAGTGCCTTAGTCGGTAAAGTACCTACCTACCTGAAAGGTTGGAAGGTACCTGATGGAAGGGTTCGCTGCAGCGGTGGTGTTGGTGTACCGGGGAGGCGAATTAAGGTGGGCTGGGGCCGACCGAGGAAGGGAATTCCGGCGACAGTGACGGCGCGTGGTATTGGTAATGGCCTCTAAAGGCGCGCCCAAGGTTGGAGGCGAAATCGAGGGCGCAAATCTTCCGCTTCTAGGTTGTTTGTATCGAAAGATCGGAAACAATCTAATTCCGGAAGGCTGTAGATGTGATGGTGACGGCTGGATGATGATGGCTATCCCCGAACGTTGCGATCGATTTTTGTCCGCGGAGGCGTAATAGCGTTGCTGAGGCTTTGGGCAGAGGATTGAGCTGATGGATGACTATGGAAGAGGGCTGCCAACTGTCGAGACGATCCAAGAGATCTAATACTCGTTGACGGTTGCTTGGGTGTTGACAATGTTGTTTATTATGATTATAAGGAATCGTCTTATAGTCTCGACAGGGTTGTTGGGGTGGGTATTGTCGTGTGTTGTCCTCACGTCGACACGGCCAGAGACTGTAAGTGGACGAGGTCTTGAAGCTAGAGATGAAGTGGACGTTTCGAAGCAGTGATAAGTATCAATGTGTGAGTTGATGGATCTGGGGAAGTAGATCTGGGATGAGGTTAAGGGCAGAAGCACGGAGGACGTCTGGGACACAAGTCGGGAAGGGGAAGGAAGGGGTTATGAATGAGAAGGCAAGCGGTATGATGGAACAGATGTGCATGCGTTGACTCGACTCAAGAACAAATCCGGGTTGTCCTGGCGCGAGAGGCAAGGTACTTGACCTGGTCAGGCCGGGCTCCAGGTTGATCGGTCCAAAGCACCTTGGGAGGGTATCTGTAGGATAGCTAAGGCAGAGCACGGAACTTGGAAGGCGCTTGGAAGGCGGTCCCTCGACGAAAGCTCGGCCGATGTTTGGGGGTAGGAAGGTTTTGGGGTCAGCAGCACCTCACTGTCTGTCTACCGTCTGTCGACTGTCTATCTACTGTCTGTCGCGGCTTGCTCATGATGGACTGCGGCCTGCCATCTATTACCACCTGCCCGAAGGTATATTCGTTCGTACTGGAGAAGGAGACAAAGGCAAAGCAAGAAGGCGAGAGGGGGACCAATAGTCTTGTCTCGGATTGGCAGGCACATCGATGCTGAGTCGCACCTTACCTTAGACTTTTGGCACACCCAATACCTCAGTAGGTACTTAGTCTCCCCTCCATCTGCCTCTCTCTCGCCCCCATTAGAACCGCATACAATGGGTCTGAGCCCGACTTCAGGCATAGGCGAGGCAGAGAAGGACGGAAGAACGCGGGCGAATGGCACTGGACCACACAAACACACACCCTAACGGCCGGTGACTATTAGTGTGACTCCTCGACGACGACAAATAGTGCGCTCAACGAACAAAGCATAAGCAAAGGCGTCCCAAGTGTCTGATCTGGTCCGATGTACCGGTCATCGACGTTTCCTGGGGTAGAGAGGCTGGCAATCCGCAAGACAGACAATTGCACCGTTTGTTTGGGGGGCGTGTGTGGCCTTGGCTTCGATATTGGTATTTGGGGTTCCATAGTGAGGTAAGGTAAGGTAGGACATCTTAGGTTGTAGAGACGGCACGAAGTACTTTGTACCTGCCTCCAAAGGTACCATTCCTCACCTCACCTCACCTCGCCTCAACTCACTGCAAACCTTCCCTTCCGTCGTTCGTGTCCCGACTCCATCAACTTCCGGGCTTCCATCGAGCTGGTATAAATAGGTAGGTACGTACTACGTAGTACGGTAAGCGCTCTTGCTCCGCATGAACGACGGAGGCGGCGACGACAGGAAGAAGGTAGGAGATGACACCGGGCAGGCAAGTGCGTCCTGGGTCAGACGATGATCGTCTCGACGAATGACATGGCCGGAAAAGGTAAGGTAATGGCCACGGGAAGGTATTCCACTCAAGGCAGGCGTGGCACGATCCACCGAGAAAGGAACAACAGACGAGGAAAAAGCAACAAACCGACCAGCTGGCGCCCCAGGGAATCTATATTCCACTCTTCCACGACTCCATCATCCCCCTTCCCACACTTGGAAGGCACGCATGGAGGGCAAGGAAGGTCAAAAAAGAAGCAATAATGAACAGGTGAAGACGAGGGCCTGCCTGCCTGCTTGCCTGCACCAATATTTCGCGCTTGCATCGAGGCGGATACGATACGGCAAGGTACGCAATGGCGGATATCCCTTTCTTTCATCGACGAATATTCATACAGCCTGGAATAAGTCAATTACACACCTTGTTCACCTCACGCTTCAATTCTTTTCCGCCGCCCACTGCCCTGGGCTGTACCGCTTTACCGCAGTCCACCTTGTTCGAGAGACAGAGACAAGTGTCGCTATATTGTGCTGTACGGTCATTGTTGGACGCTTCCCCGCTGGGCTGGATATCTCGTCGCCAAAGCCAAACCCACCACCTACTATACTGCATCGAACCGTTCCTAGATCAGCTTCTTGCCACACGGCCAGCGGCGTCCGTCAACATGTGCCGGCACCATCCCGGCCGGCCCCCAATTATGGTCCATTGGTCCCTTGGCCTCCCCTTTCGACACTACGTCCCGGACCAAGTTCTGCTGACGTCTGTCACAGGCTGTCCTAGCGCAACGACTTACATGATCCATGGTCAAACACCTCTTATCCACCCTCTATTTTCCGCTGTTCCCACCCAAGATAGCCCATTACTCTCCCAGAAAGGAAAGAGAGAGGGAAAAAAAACACGTTGAGCAGATATCAAAGGGGAGAAAATGAACCCCGTGTCAGAAAAGAAGGTCTCAAGCAGCAGAGGGGACGGAGCAGGATCAAACCGTTACGTGATCGACCCAGTCTCTTGGGGACGTTCTGGGAATCGGACAAGGTTATGGTTACTGTGTTTTAATGGACCCGTCAAGCCTGTCTGCCTGCTACACCCGCGTCGGGCCACATGAGTTGCCTACATTCGACGGATATGTACGTGGATCGCTGGGACTATTTCATCACCTCTCATCTCCTACACCGGGCACGATTCAGGATGCCAAACATGGAGCTGTAAGCCTGTCTGCTTCGAGTAACCCAGAGCGCTGGGTCGGAGTCCTATGAAAAAACGAAAGATCGGTCAAGCTGGCTGTTGGTACGATTGCAATACAGAATTGGCCTCAGCTGGGAGGCTGGTTGGTGGGTGAGCTGCGCCGGCCCTGCGCCTGATTGCCGACCAGGACGTCACCAGGCGCAGGCCAATCGCAGGTATCAATTATCCGACCATCGACGATGCCCCCAAACAACGTATACATCTTGGAGGCTATTACTCCGATTCGCCGCCCCCCCTCCCGCGGCTTGCCAGGCTTGTCCACACATGCGAGCGATGCGCCAAAAGACCCAATATTGATTTCCGTAGCAGTTTCTCATACAATTTGAGCTCCGCCAGATACGCCGGCCGGCAACAACGTCGAATCAGAAAATCACCGTCAGAAAGCCATGAATTGCCCAGAATTATTCTGCAGCGGTGGATCCCACGGTAGCGACGGATGGAGATGCCACAAGATGACTGGACAAGGCCGTCGCACAACCGCCTCTAAGCTCCTATGCTTGACTCATAGCCAGACATTTAGTGTCGGGGACAGGCCTGTTTGGCCACCCCATGCTCCATGTCAAAGTCCTGCACACATCGGCCGCTATCCGTCCTCGGTGATTGACCGTCTTCAATAACAAAGAAGAGATGCAAAATCGGCTTTGAAAAGTCGTGTGCATTTCGCTGAGAAGGCGAGCAAAAGCATGAGGCGACTAGAACAATTGCGGGGCTTTCCGAGGCGGCCGAGTCAACGGAGTATCCCAAGGTAGGAGGATACAGAAGGGGTTCCGAATCTTTGGTATGCCATCCATCATCACCACCGCGGCAACCCCCTTCAACGACGAGATTTATTCAGTCTGTCACTTATCACGGGGAGGGAGGAGAGATGCGCCTTGGGCCATGCCTGGTTCCAAGTTTACCTTCTACACAAATGACGACGGATGAGGGATTCTAAGCAAGGCGAAAGTTACATCCATGGAAATTCTCAGGAAGTCTGTGGGAACGTCGGAAAAGATAGTGGCAGAAACAGGGTCTTTCTCAGCTCTACAGCCTCCGGGGCCGCAGCGAGGAAGGCGGTCTGATCTTGCATGTCTGCTTTCGGGGTCCTGGGCAGGGTGCCTGACCCTCAACCTTTACCTCATGGTGGAGGCAATGGCACGCTGGCACGGCTAGGAACACGGTGCAGCGAATACATGCAGAAGCGGAACAGAAGCAACACTCCACCACCGACGCCGGTCCACTCCGGACCCGACGAATGACAGTTTCGACAATGGCACCCCCAAGGCCAAAGGCGCAGCCGAGTCCAGCATTGGGACGCCAGGTCTGTGCCTCGCTAGGATATCCCTGCTAGCCGCAACAGCTAAAACGAGCCTAACGCTCGCCGTGCACACCCTGTTGTATTTTCCCAGAATTCGCTCCCGCTCCGGGTGAAATTCACCGTCGCATGGGTGGGCTGCGCGAGGCACTTGACACTTTGCTACTCAGGGACATGGCTACTAGCGTTGGCTGGCAGGCAGAGGCAGAGGCTGGCAAACCCCAAAACCGCCTACGGGTAGTACGAACACCGCTTCTTAGCGTCGCATGCCTAAATCCCAATTTCGCCGACATTTTTGACCTGTCTCAGAGAGGAGCACCGTTTGTAACGAGCAGCCTATCGTCACTACGGATACCTCGCCCTTGAGAGGAAAGGCGGTGTGGGACGCTTCTCACGGACACTTTACCTACCACGGTGGACGACCGCCTACGATCTACAGCAATTCCGTGTAGTTACCCATACTCCCTGGCACATCAAGCATAGAACATGGGCAGGTTTGAGAAGACCGAGGCATTTCATTTCGCCTGCAGAATGGACGAGTTGCAGGAAGAGGAAGCTACGGACAAATTGGAACTTGGAAGAAACCGACTTTAGTTCGCAGCCGCGGGTAGCGAGAAACAACAAACGAATACACCATATGATATCCCAACGCCAAAGTACCACTGCAAACGACCCCCGTACGCGACACATCATTTCCCCGTCTGAAAAGCTTTGGGATAACCTTTCCACTTTGCTAGGGGCTCGCCGCAACCTTCATCTCAGACAAACACGCCATGAATCGGCAAAGCGTAGAACCACCCTTCCTGCCATGGTTTCCTCTCAAGACTCAAAGTCGACAGGCAACGTGGTGCAGGGCAGTGGTCCTAAAGAGCCGTGGTCCTCCAGGGCCTTGACTCGCTTGCAATGGTACTCAGATGAGGTGCACATGGGCCTCGAAGCGTGTGTGCCCGCAAGCCACCGGATCTCTATGCGATCTTGAGTTCACACCTCGATCTCGACCCCAATCCACTTCGCTCCTACGTACCTAGTCTGCATCTCGGCGATATGCCCCGCCGTTGGCTACATGCTTGTGATGGCCGTGGCCAGAAGCATCATGTTGCACGATTTCCTTCGTCGATCCTGTTCATCAAAACCGGCTTGCCTTCATCGTCTCCCCACCGACCCGACCAACCGTTGCAGAGAGCAATCCAAGATCTTGCGTACACATGGCTAACGAGCCACTAACACTGACACCACCACCCACACTTCACCCCGCAGGCACGGAGTCCTGAACACTCCTTGTGTTACATGACCCGGCCGAGATCGCGGAGACGGCAACGGTAACGTCAGCGTTTGTCCACCGTTCAACCGCCCACCTAGATGGCAAAATGCCAATGGCCAGGAACCGCAGCGGGGTAACGTCTGAAATGCCGCAATCTCGATACTACATGGCCGGCTGTCCATCACTCTTCACCGGCCCACCTGTGGATATCCATGGTTCTGCACACCATTGACGAGCCGATATTTCTCTCCTCGGGTAGGAGATTATTGCAAGTTCCGTGCCTTATTGCTATTGTGCCTTGTGGCTCCTTGTGGCTCCTAAACTCTTTGGCTGCATTTCCCTTGCCCACCAGTCATTACACACCAAATGGCATTTGGGAGATCCTGGGCTCTGGCATTACACCGCAATGTCCATCAACAGGATGGACTATCCAGAAAGACACTATCTCGCCGATTCCGAAGGGTCTCGAGCATAACTTCATGGGAGCTACTCTGCGAGTAAGGTCTGCTTTCAGATCCTTGGAAGGCCTCTGGTTTCAATGGTTGTTACCAAACTTTCTTCTTTGTCCTCGACATATGGGTATGGTGAAAAGAAGCCGAATTATTATGGGTAGGTACGTAATGTGTTTAAGGCCGTGCTCGCTTCAAGCGAATGACTCGGCGACAACCGATCTGAGAGCTTCGGACCGGAACTCGCCAAGGATGAAGCCTTGACGCGGTATTAGATTGAGAGGACATTGCTTCATTCGACCGAATAACGCAAGGGGTTGCCCTCAAACAGCCTCCGCACAATAATAGTCCATGATGCATGCATGAGGCATGATACAGATTGAAAGGGGCTCAGAGCCGAGAGCCAGCGGTTCAGATTACTATACGAATGAAGAAATGCTGTCGAAGGCGGGCATCGTTGGGGTTGACGGTACCGAGGAAGCACATATGCCGATGAAGGCGATCGTTCACACGAAAGAAGTGGCCTTGGGAGGCGTAGCAACGATTGAGATTCAAATGGTATGCCGTGGCTGCGAGTACGGATACTTCGTACACGCAAAAGCTAGCAGTCGCTCGGTGACTCGGGCTTTGTCTTGTCGGTGGCAGGCGGGAGCGCACAGAGGACCCTGACCCTAGCAAGGATCGTGGAAGGTTTCTAGAAGACGGTTCGGGCTGAAGAATGAGGCGCGCAGGAATCGCCCCCATCCATTTTACCAATACCGCGTGAGGACGGGCCTAAACTAATTTACTTGAAGGGGACCTAGACCTTGTCTGTGATCTCGTTTGCAACCTACTGTGGTACACACTCAGTCTATGTGCAATGGAGCAGGCCATCATCCAACCAGCGGTGAGGATTACGGGACATATCTCACATCTGTATGCAACGCATAATAGCAAGGACCCTGAATCGGGGGGCAGGAGCTCTGTTCCATGTGGATATTGGTAGACTGCATGACTTGGACCCTGAGTATCTCTAGAAGCTTTGAAACAGAAGAGCACCCGAAACTCGACGAGAGTTGAGCTCTGGAATTTGGCCTCCTATAATCTTGCGCCTTTGTACCAACTGTACCGCCGCTATCATGCTGAGAAAGCATGTGGGTTTGGCCGGTTTGGCATCACTGTGACGCGGTGATGGGATGAGTTTTCGCTCACCGCCTCTAAATGCTCGTCCATACACCTCCAAGAGGTGTTACTTGACGACATTACACACGACGTTCGCTTGAGGTTGGTCTTGCGAAGCTGTGAACTAGCATCACGGGCTTTCTGGGGCATCTACAAGCGCCATTCTCTACGGGAATACACCGAACACGCCAGGAAAAGCCTCGCAATCGCTTGAGAGCAACTTTTTGCTGTCCAACAATGATGCTAGGGAAGAGCGAACGACGGTTGGAGCCAGCTGACATCCTCGCTAGAAGCTTTTCCAATTGTTGCAAACCACCCTCTAATATGACCGGACCCTGAACCTCCCACTTGCGGATTGAGACCAGCTCACCACTACTGCGGAGTGGTCAAGGTGTTCGAAAGACGAGCATCTAGGCGGCCCATCCCTGGGACATACACTTTGATTTTGGACTACACTATTCTGCATGCGTCTGTCTAGCGCACAAATCTAAGAGAAGGTAATGGTGAATGTGAGCAAAAGTGGTGCCAGAAGTGCAGATCAGGTTTGGACGGAACATCAGGCCACTCTCATCCTTATTACAGAGAGCATCTGGCGACTATTCGTACCTGGCTTCTTGTCCAACAGGATAAGCGTAGGCGGATATTATGGGGCTCCGGGCTAGGCGTTCGGGTGCGGCCGGTGAGAAAAAGGGGCCGTTTTCTCTGCAGTCACCAAAGGATCTTCCTCCCGTCAGGTCGGATTTGCTGGCCTTGAAAGGCAGCTTCTCTTGCCGGGCGCTCAGGCCCGACAAGCACGGGGAAGCTGGACAGCTGGGTCCCCAATCCGAGGCCGACATTCCCGTCATCAAGAATTCAGTGTGGACATAAGTCGGCGATCCCAAGGTCCGCAACTGAATGATCCCCGATACGCGAGTATGTTCACAGCAGCGTCTGCTCGAAGCTTCGGGGGCGGCCAGGCGTTCGGCGTTTGAAATCCCATAATTAACTGGAGCCTCGAGCAAACGGCGAAAATAGGGAACCCTGCCAAAGTGGTCAGACTGACGACCGACTGGAATGTGCGACGCCTCGTCCGGTTGTAGTGCCTGTGAGGAAAACGACGGCCAATCAGAGAAGACAAGATTGTTCTCTCTCTGCTTACTCATAAGCTGCGGAAATTTCTCGGTGTTTGCTGAGTGAGGAACGCTGCGGCAGGGCTCTATACTGAGAGGCCGGCCGCTGGAAAAGCCGCTATGCGGTGCCGCGAGGCGCTGCTCAGGGCAGGGGAAAAAGGTGCAGGACGGCAAAGACCGGACAGCAAGGGTCCATTACATCATGCCGTAGCGACGACCTCATGGCACGATTTTGGGTCCCATGAGAGCTTTTTTTCGCCCACGCGGCGTCCCATCCACCAGGTTTTCAATCCCCGTTCGGATCTGTCATCAGCTTTGACAATTCCGTTCACTGGATATAAGGCCATTGACACTCGTCTTCAATGTTGAGGATTTGTTACCAGCTGTTCAGATTATCCACCGAGAGACAATCCACTGGGACCGAGAGCTCTAGGTAACCAAGCGAAAACGAGCACCAGCACCAAGCTTTACCTCTCTGAATTAAACCCCATCAAAGGTAGCTTCGAATCACTACCCGTCATCCATCCATCACCAGCCACATCGTAATTACGACATCACTCTCTCCACGACCACCCGCTCAGATCTCGACAACACCAAAACGCACAAGGCTGCGCACCTAAATCACCTCTTGCAGCATCAACCTTTTTCTTTCCCTCTGAAGGAAAACATCCGTCCCCCTTGCTACGGCTCGAAGCTCCACATTTTTGCACACCAAATAGACACCTTCCACAAACCGCAATCATGAAGATCCTCAGCAAAGAAGAGGAGGCCGAGCACTACAGCGTCGTCGTCAAAGCCGGCCTCATCGGCGGCACGGCCGGCCTTGCCGTCGGTCTCGGAGGTGTCCTCTTCGCATCCAAGCGCTACCCGTCCTTCCGCCAGCTCACCCTGCCGTTCCGCTCCTTCCTCGTCACCTCTGCCGCGACATTTGGCGCCATCGTCCACGCCGACCGCGAGTCCATCCGCTACGGCAAGGAAAAGGACCCCATGTTTGGATATCAGGACGCGACAGCGCGCGCCATCGCCGAGGCTAAAGCCAACGAAACGCAGATGCAGAAGTTCACCGAGTGGGGTCGCGAGAACAGATACTCCATCGTCTTCGCCTCCTGGCTTGCGTCCATGGGCGTCGCGCTCGCCATCGTCGGCAAGGACAAGTACCTCACCGGCGCTCAGAAGCTCGTCCAGGCCCGTGTGTATGCCCAGGCTCTCGCCGTCGTCATGCTCGTCATCACCGCCGCCTTTGAGATGCAAGACGCCAAGACCGGCGCAGGCCGGTGGGAAACGGTCATGATCATCGACCCCGAAGACCCGGAGCACAAGCACCTCATTGAGAAGAAGATTCACAAGGAGGAGTACGAGGGTCAGGACTTGTGGAAGGGTAAGTCAACATCAACCTATCTCCCCGCCGGTGGGGGGGACAATCATGTTCCCCACCCCCCGTGTCGGAGCTCTTACTGACATGTCTGTCAATAGATATGGTCGCTGCCGAGGAGCGCCGCATCGCTGCCCGCAAGGCTTCTGAGCACAAGTAAACGTGCAAACATCACACGACTAACCACAACGACTCATCACCCATCCGCTCATCCAACTATTCCATGGCTTTATGCAGGTCCTTATGCGATTATTTCTCTCATCATTTCCTATGTCGCGTGGCAAAGTTCCCGAAAATTATCCCTCGGAGAGGGAGATGGTAGCTTGGCGGGTTATTTATCTTGCATTGCCGGCGTTTGTTTCAATGGAGAGGCGTTGATGATGACCGGCCACGGCCTGGTCATATGGCACTGCCGATGACGGTTTCTTCAATGTTACGAGATGGGAGAGAGACTACAATGGCAAGCAACAATCAGACGGGCTTGCTAAGTCTGTGTATCAATCTGGCGATTTCATCAGTCTACATTTACCAGCAACATTGAATACAGTTTCTACGTAATCTCGAAACCTAATATAATCCTAGACCACCTAACCCCGTGAGTGTGTGTAAGCGGCAGCAGCGACAATTCGTTCCCGCCTAGTGAAATTGCACCACTTGGTGGCGTGACCCCGACATGAAGCCATACTTCTGTGTAGCAGCTCCCCTACCCAAACGATTGGAATCTCAAGCCACACGATTATATTTTCGAGGCCATCAATGTCAAACGAAAGCGCCCGTTATCGGTTTCGTTCCATCGGAGAGAGTATCCTGAGGGATGGGGGGGATGAGAAGTCACTAGCTACTTTACTCAGGTTACGGGGGGGCAAGCTCCCGTGATCCTTGGCGGAGCACCACACTACGTAGGTTTTTCCCCGACCTTAGTCCCAGAGTCCAACTTGTCTCCAATTCAGTCTTCGTATTGGACTGGCACAAACTGACCCCAAATGATCATCGAGAACAACTCCTTGCTGGGATGACGTAGGCACCTCTCCGCATCAAACCTCGCAGAACGGGTACGGCCCAGAACACCGAGATTCGCGAGTCAGTCACGGAGTGCGCCGTCGACCCGGCATCCCACAATGATAGATAAGAACACCGGTGTTACATGGTGGACCATATCGAGATCTCACAATTACGGAATCGTCACGTCACACAATGATAGATAAGCGAAGGGCAAAGAAATGTTGAAACTAGAGTACTACTATGTTCAACAATTCTGTCTGATAAAATAAGATAAAAGAATAACGCTTGGCTGCCCACCCGCCTGAAATTTTAATGAAGCCGTTCCGTCATCAAGCATAGGTAACTGTAGATAAGGAGATTTCGGGAAGCCTTGCTGCCTTGGGAAAACGACATGCAAAAGTTGGGGGAACAGATCAAACCAGATTACGGTATGATAAACAAGATGACATGAGTTTTTTTTTTCGGAACGCGATAACAACGGCGGACCACCAGACTGTGAACCTCAGACCTCAATGGTGAAGTGGCTAATTTGTGAATAATATGCGTGCACAGCCAGCTCCAACATCCAAACATCGCTAAACACTTCACTGCCGTCAAACCCACCAATGATGAACAGACGACTGTCGTACAGCACGGTGCCGTGGTATCCGCGGCCGCTAGGCGGAAGGCCGTAGACGCGCCGGCGATCCCAAGTCATTGTGACGAGGTTGAGCAGGAGGACATCGTTGGAATACTCGTTGCCGTCGTGTCCACCAATAATGAATAGATAGGAGCCTACGAGGGTGGCCGTGTGCGATAGGCGGCGGTAGGTCTGAGGTATGGAAACGGCCTTCCAGATATGAGCGTCGACGTCGTAGACCCACACATCGTTGAAGCACTCGCCGCCATCGGAGCCGCCAAAGATAATGAGCTTGCTGCCCACCATGTTGGCGGTGTGGTAGCCGCGGGGTTTCGGGCGAGTTTCCCGGACGCCCGGGGGCGGGGCCCGCTCGGGCCCGGAGACAAGCTTCCAGGACATCTTGTTCATGTCGCTGACGTCGAGCCTCCAGACATCGTTGAGGGCGCGAACCCCGTCGCCGCCTCCAAAGATGTAGATGCCGTTCTTGTAGAGGCAGGCCGTGTGTGCACGACGTTTGGAGGGGACACGATCGCCTATAATCTTTGGCCTGTGCCACCTGAAATTTGTCGTATCAAGAACGTAAATATCGTTATAGTACGCAGGCCCGTCGCCACCGCCAAATATCACAAGTTTCTTGCCGACAGCAGTGCAAGTCATTGCGCGCAGTGGCACAGGGATCTCGCCGGTGACGTGCGGTACGGACCAGTAAAAGGCATCTGCATCAAAGACGTAGAGCTCGTTAAAACAGGCGCGGGAGTCGCAGCCCCCAAATACGAATATGTTGGATCCGACGAGCGTGGTCGTATGGGCACGCAGTGATGTATGGGGAGCCCCTGAGACGGGCGCTCGCGACCAGTACATGCCTGATGAGGGAGCCGGAGGTACATCTGGCGCAGTCTTTGGATCCTGGAGGGGCGGAAAGGGGATATGTTGACCTTTGGGGGCGGATCTCGAGGAGACCGTTGTAGAGAGCTGGCGTGTTGAGGATGACGAGAGGGGAAGTGAAGGCTTTCCGGCTATGGCGGACGTGGAGCGCATGGCTATAGGACGGCGGCCGTCGCGGTCGGAGCCGGGGCCTCCGGTGGACTCGGAGCCATCGTTGCTGTTCAGGGTTGTGGCATCGCTAGCAGTATTACTCGGCCGGAAGGACGGCGGTGGAGGTCTGGGGGTATTCGCGCTTGTGGGTGTCGTACGAGACTGTTGTGAGGCCTGAGCCTGCGACGCCGACTGGGAGCGCTGGCGGATAGAGAGTTCGGAAGGTTTACGGCGGCGGTCCTGGCTCTTGGAGGCGAGGTGGCCGGGCGTGTGGGAACGTGGGATTATGGGGCCTCCCGGGGCGGAGGGGGCACGGCGATGCTGTTCGACGTCGCGGTCGCTGAAGTCCTCGACATGATCGGGCACGCTCGGTGGTGAGGGGCGCGGATCGTTGGGCGGAGAGATCTTTTGGGAGCGGACAACCTTGGACTTGAGGGGGGACCGGGGGTTCTTGTCCGAGGACCTGGCCGAATCAGCCATGGTTCGGCGGGGGAATGGTCATTGCCCCCCTCTCGCGAGGATGTGGATGATTGCCCGGGGGGGTCGGTCTTTGGAAAAGGCGATTGCGGTTCGAGGGAGCGAGATGGTGTGGGAAGAGATGGCACAAAGCAGGTGATACTTTGGGCCAATTGGCAAGGCCAGGTCGTCGAGAGAGCTATTATTCGGGAGCAGGCTGGCGGATGTGCGCCGGGGCTTCGGGGCTTGAGTCGACAAGGAGATTTGGTTACTTGGGACGTCGAGGGTTGCGTTGCAGTTGCAGTGTCGTTGGATGACTCGAGGTTTGTGTGGTTTGCTGCAAGGTACGTGACGTGTATCCGTAGTTCGGTTGCAGAACGCCAGGTAGAGCAGAGAACTGGAGTGCAGCCGCAAAAAAAGAGATCCACTCTCGTCTTGTTCCCAAGCTCGGGTCCCAAGGAAGGCTGTAATGCTGGTTGTAGTACAAAGTATTGTTACTGGAGAACGGACGTGAGCTGGCAGGGTAAGGTGCGTCGGGAAGGCAAGGCACGACCTCGGTGACGGGGCCTTGTTAGTGCGGTTACTGGCAGTCAGCGTGGTGCTCCCCTTGTTAGATACCATGGTTTAAGCCTTGAGATGAGGTAATGGAAGGCACTTTGCTGGAGCAGCATCTACCATTGGCTCCGCCCCTTCCCTGGGCTCCGAGGGCTAGAAGGGCTGGAAGGGCTGGAAGGGCTGGAAGGGCTGGCCTCTGGTCCCTGAGTAATTCCACCCACGCATCACTAGTCTTCTTACGGCATCCCCCTCGCCAAAGCCAAGCACGGGCCATCTCCGGCCCCTGCATTGGGCTGCCGTTCTCCTCTGCTGTTCCGCGCAACTGTAACCACCCTTCAGGGCATGTTAAGGCTTTCCAGCCAGTTTCCAGCCAGGGTGGGAGTGATAGATCGCATAAGGCCACATGTGCTCCCCTCCGGCCGTCATAGCGCCGCCACCCACCGACGAACAATCCGACAGGCTTACTTCACTACTTCACATGTTCGCTTCTAGATACTCAGCATCATGCCACATCATATGTGAGGCTCCGAGCCCTCATGCAACATCTTGCCCTACAGACACCGTCTCTCCTTCAATATGCTGTACACGGGGATCGGGTGGGCTTGTGTCCGCATCCGCAAAGAATCGCGAGTGCAATTGAGGAAAAAAGCATGATCCCTTACGGCAACACTCCACCACAAACACAAACGTCTTACAAAATGCGTCCCCCAGATAGCTTCTCTACTAGTGCCTTGGTTGCCCGGTATCCGTACTTCTACATTACTGTATATTCGTACCCATGAAAACCTGGACTGAACCAAACTCAATTTGACCTGCCAAATTATCGACTCCAGTCACAATTCTTTCCGCCCATTTAAACACCATTGACAGGCTATGCTTCGCTAGGTAAAGGTCCCTCGATTTTGCTATTACCATATATTACTTTATATATCCAAGCAGCATCACCAAGGTAAAGTCATGGTCAACGAATCGTCACAGTATATATCCAGATCTCTTAGCACGCCTCACGGGGTTACTCTCCTCCAATGTCGCAGAACAACGCCCTACAGCTAACGAGCTCATCAGAGCCGTCGAGGAGAATGTCACTGATGTGAATTACCGGTCGAATTAACTGGACATTGTTGTAGACTGTATGAATTACCGCAATGGCCCGAGGCCGCCCGGTCTCGTTCAACTGGGTGAGCAAACATTTTCAACAGCACCCCTCCCCCTTTCTCTTGACGGGGAGGAGGATTTTGGGGTCATAACAGTTCCGGCCGCATCTTCTGAGATACATTGCTGCCGGCGATGGGCCATATGCGACCCCAACACTCCACCACCAAGACCCGGACCTGGACTCGAATTTCGAACCTAGACTGAAAATTGAGATGGCCGTGTTTCCTAGTTTTGCAGAAGCTCTAACATGTCTCGGCATTCACTAGACTCTTTTCCTAAACTAGCTATCATCTCGACTTCACAATGAGACTGAGCCATTAACTCCCAGTGTCACCTAGCGAGGAGAAATTCTGCTCAACGTCAATCACGCCACCACTCGGGCATTGAAGGGATCACAAATCGGGTTTCCTATCGGGATAAAGCTATCTTTTGCCGTAATGGCATCCTTTGTGTGAGACAATGGACCTTCTCTTTAGCCGACAGCACAAGAGTTCGGCCAGCTGCAAGTGGGACTCCCGCAACCAACTCCTTTGGCCGGCTGGGCCGCCAAAGTCCACAACGTCATCTCAAGTTGATGGGTTAGACAAGAAACCTTAACATTTGAAGCCTTTCCTTATCAGAACGGGAGGCAAGTCGTGCCCCTCTTTTGGTTGAGATTCCACAGGACTAGGCAAAGAGTAACATGATTGGGATTGGCGTGACGCAACTGCTTTGAGGGGGCCTGTATCAATCAAGGAAGTCTAACATTTTCGGCGATTCAAGAAGGGGTGTGAGTGCGTCCAGTGTGCCACATTACGGTTCACCAACCGTCAACTCTCACAGAAACGGTAAGTATGCAAGGCCAGAAGTTCCGAGAAGCTGTTGTCAACCCGCTCGGATAGGACCCCTTGCAACGACGGCATTCCATTCCCAGGGTGCTGAGAACTCTTTTCCAGGATGGCTTGAGGAGGAGTGATCAGGGAGTTTGCGAGGGGCGTCAGTGGAGTTCAGAACCCACAGGGGAAGTTGGGATTGGAGTTCCTTGGGTTGGAGGAGAAGTTGCGCCACATCTGTCATCTTCTCCGATGCACGATACGAATACATGATTCAAGTCCCGGATCTTTTTCCTGCCTGCCAAGATCGGGGGAAGTCTGGCCTGAGCCAAGCACGTGGGCGAGAAACCCACCATATCCCACCGCCAATCTGGTTGAGGGACATTTTGAGCCCCGATATGATATCTGACTTGCGTCATTGCCTCTCCAGCTCTGTCGAGTATGACGAATGAACAACCAGGAACGGGGAATCCATTCGACGAACAGTTCGGATCCCGGAGATCTCGTAATCTCCTTTCACGACTCGGGGCTCGCAGTCGCATCAAGTTGTTCTTGAGGAAACGTTCCACTCTCTCCTTGTAGCGTAGTATTGGGAGAAGACATTCGCAAGCTCAGCAGGTCTGGTCAGTCAAGAGGGACAGGAGCTTGATGATAGAGCCAAGATCGAAGATATCGAGTACATCAATGTCTCGAATACCGGATGTACTATCTATCTCTGAGGCTATAGCGAGGCCCCCAAACAAGCAAGGGTCTTCAGCCAAGCCCCGACAGAGCATCTCTCCATCCTTCCAGAATCGATGAACTCCGAAAGGATCGATCAATGTCATCTAAACCCACACCATTCTAAACATTGACACTAACATGCGACCATCCTACTCCGGTTCTCCGGAGATACAATGCCGGTGCTCCGGAGATGCAATACCGGTGGGTAGTATGTTATTGGTGTTTGTGATGGTGGCAGTGGTTAGCTCGAGATCCCAGCACCAGGAAGGCCGGATAATGTCCATCCGACAACCCGGGTGCCTTTGCGAAGTCGGTGGTGGCGCCAGTCCAGTCAGCTGCGCGGCACACAAAAGATGGGCTAGTCCATGGAACTAGACAAGAGTCCAAGACCGCAACGCCAAACTCCAAAGCCAGCCGGGATTCGCATCTAGGGGCAGAGACGAACTGGTCGGGTTTCTGACACAGTATGCGAGCCGAGCCCTGACTCGCTCGAGGTGGTATTTCGGATGAGGCTCGGTCGGCAGACACGCCGACGTTCGGGGGTAGGCCCGGTGCTGTGGGCCACGAGAGGCGCTAGGAGTTGACTGGCATGTTGCAACAAGTGGGGCCTATTGGTGGTCAAGCAAGTTCATTAGCAATTGGCTGCGAAAATGTTCAGACTCCGATATGGTGTAGTGGCCAACATGATGCCCTCTCATTGCGTGAAAGGTTAGGCATAGCCCCGAGTTCGATTCTCGGTTTCGGAATTTTTGCTGTTTGCTTTGATCTGCCTACTTACACGCTCGTCTCCGGCCAAAGCAGACGTTCGATAGATAGATAGTATGCTGCAGGTTTGTTTTCTAATTAACTGAATGTATATAATATACATATATAATATCTCGACATTGTTTTGCTCGTGCCTCGCTCGCGTCGTCTCAGGGATAGCCCACATGAACACCTTTGCCACGCAAAGCTCTCACATGCGACCACACCCACTGGAGAACTCGGGATCCCGTCCGCTCTCCCATCGATAAACCAGCGAGGGCCGGAGTAGTAGTCGGGTCGGAGACGACCGGCGAATGCCTGGTGTTGCATGTATATTTTGTCTCCGATGTCTTTTTGCGGCTTGTACGTATGTTGTGAGACCAAATCAGGTTCAGAGGGGAAGAAAGAGAGAGAGAGAGGTCTTTCATATGATGGATGGTGTGTCAGTGCGGATCTTTTGTCATCTCCGCCGAAGGTAGTGAGTATACTGAATTTTCGAAAAGGGGCCAACGTTTCACGATAGACGAGCCTCGCTACTACTAGTACAACGTGAGACTGCGTGGTTGGTGAGTCGTTCTCAGACCATTAAGAACTTTCAAGGGAAACTGAGTATGTTCATTCGTCAAAACCTTTGAGAACAGTCTTGACCCTGTGATTTTGGTTGATGCCACTAGGCAGAAACTTCCCTAGTGATGTTGGCTGGTATTTGAACAGCTCTCTTCTCACCGCCCATCATAACATCCGCTGTCGAATAATAGGCTATGCCCCCCAGGCACAATCAACTGTTGGCAAGATCTGTAAGTGGGGGAGAACTTGACGAAGCTCGAAAGCTTGAATTCGCGGCAGCTGTTGGATCCAGTAACCACTCTTTCGGTTTCAACTTGGCATTGCTGCAGTGAAGTCTGATCTTTCTACGTCATCTAACGTGATGCGTAGTATTTAAATCTGTGTTCTATTATGAGGCACACAAAAAAACCTCAGCGCACCGTCATGCGATGTGCCGAGGTTAGGGGCATGGCAAAGCGGCACTGCATGCTTTCTCAATAGTGGCGAAATTGGCGTCCAGTCAGACTGGGCTCTCAAGTAGAGAACATGATGGTGCGAAGAGTATCTTTTCCCACTGTTACGATGCAGAGTATCAGCAGGGCGCCGAAGGTTAGTGGAATACTTGCTGATGATGGCCGAGTGGGATATACTATAGGCTAGCTTGGTCGCAACTTCGGCAGTGCTTGATTGAGGTGCTATTGTAGTTGTCTTGTAATCACCAAAGACATGTACTTAGTCTTGATTGAGGGCAAATACAAAAAATGGATGTGTTTCCTCGGGAAGTACGTGTACGAAGGCCCAAGAGGTAGCTTCATTGAAATACAGTTGAGTTGAGTCCGGGCCTGTTCTCCGCGGCTTCTATAATAGCCTCCCACTTCAGATCATGGCTTTTCTTCCCGAGGGAGGAAGGGGAAGGTTCGATTAGCCGTCGCAAAAGCATAGCCGAAGCTTGAGAAAACCATACACCAGCAGGCGGCACTGGGCCTTGCATGTATATTCCGCAACCCTGGAGGATATTTCCACATTATCTCCATTATACTGCTCCTTTTCCTGACCTTTTCCTGTCCACCCACAACCAAAACACACCGAATCGCTTTCCAGATGCACCCAGGTATCGACCCAAACGCCAGGCAACCCCCCACCCCTTTCAAGAAATGCTCAAACCATATCATAGCTCTCTGGAAACAAAATCGCATTCGCCATCCTAACCAGAGCCTTCTCCGTCGGGTTCCCCCCTTCCTTGTCCTCCCACGGCAGCAGCCCCATGGCTCTGAGCCCATCCTCCCCGCCCGCATCACTGACTTCCTGTGTCCCGGGGCGGCCCGTGTGCGTCGTCTCCCCCTTCCCGCCCCCAAAGTCCGGGCTCGGCTGACCCAGAAGAAACGCTTTCCGCTGGCGGGCGAGGTACAGCGCGTTCGTCTGCGTCAGGGGGCACGCCGGGATGTACATGATGGTCGCGGGTGCTGAAGACGTCGGCACCCTGTCGACTCCGTACACCATATCTGGGTGCCACACGACGTAGTCGCCCGGCAACACGGGTGGTATGCGCACGAGAGACTTGTCGAGCTGAAGATGTGGGTGGAGCGCCGAGTTAAGTTCTTGCGTATATGATGGTACGGCGCCTTGGATGATGCTCGTCTGGGCAAAGTCTAATGCCCAGTTCTCGCGCGCGAGAAAGCTGTGCGAACTTGGGGAGGGGTTGCGGGGCGAGAAAAAGGGGCGCAACAGGAAGTAGGCAGTGGCGAGCTGGAGCATGGGGCAGAGCAGGAGGGTGCCGTCGGCCGGATTGATGTCGGACATGGAAAGCCAGCCTTGGAACATGCGAAACATGCTGCACGAACCCGCGCCGTTGTAGAGGTCCGATGTCACTCTGAGCCGCGTGCTGCTGTCCCAAGGGTCGTAGTCCTCCCAATTTCCATCCCATATGCGCTGGTACGTGCCTGCGTTCCCATAACCGTCGCTCTCCCACCGCTCGACGCTGCCGCCGTCCATATGGGCATTTAGATGCCAGGCCTCGTCGCCCGGTGTTCGAATCCTTAGACGGTCAGCATATGCCACTGGCAGGTCGGCTACCACAGGAGCGTTAGGGTCTCGAGAGCGCCACAGGCGCATCAGGAACCGCTGCGCGGCTAGGACGTTGGGATGGGCTCGGCCCTTGATCTGCGATGGGGACCAGTAAATCCCGAACAGGTGCGGGTCGCGCGTCGGCCAGCTCTTGGTGTGCGGGTTCTCCGACAGATACATCTCCGTCTCTTCCCGCCAAGTATGGACCTCAGAGGCCGGTACAACATTGCGGATGATGGCACCACCTCGACGCCGGAGCTTGGCGGTGAACTCGGACACAAGGGAATGGTTTTGGAGCTCCGAAAAGTCAATGGTCGGGAAAATGTCAGACTTCCTGACACCGATGACTGCGATTTCGGCTCGAAGAGCTACTAACAAGCGTTCCCAAGACTTGACTATGGCGTGCTCCTTGCCAGCGACGAGGCTCCGTTTAATCAGAGCAAATCTCGGTGGAAGCGGGATGGGCCCGCCATCCTCGGTGAAGATTTCGTCGGCACGCATAAAGCCTCGTGGTTGATTGTCTAGAGCTATTGGAAAAGACTGTGACCAAAGCAGGCTTGGGGTATCAAAAGGTGAGAGGAATTGAGAGAGGAGGTCGTCGGGGATTGATGAGAAATCCAGGTCCGGCAGTTGCGACGTGTCATCGACTGGCCCAGATTCGTTTTGGAACATGTCGTCGTCCATCACGCGGTGCAAATAGCTATAAGGCACCGGGTGGTACCTGCAGAAGCTCCGTGTCGTGTAGTCGTCGCATGGGCGCGTTGGACCATGTTCCCAGAGCGATGGGATCGGGGCCCACCGCCGACTGGGTTCCGGGATCAAGATCACGCGGGGCCGGGAAAAGGTCGGATCGCCGCGGCTCAACGGTGGGGGACACTTCTCGTCGCTGACAGCGCTGCAGCCGGGCCGCTGTGCCGCCACAAGCCTCATCGAACCTCGTTCCTGGATATAAGATCAATGGGTGGGTTAACTGGCAGAGAAAAGCAGCCGCATTGTGAGACTTCCAGCTCATAATTCCAAGACCGGTCTCCACATAGCGCAGGCCCTGGGACACATGAAGCACCATTCACCACATCATCTCACTATAGACGTATGCATCGCCGGCCAACCCCAGCAGATCCATCGACCCGGATTGGTTCATATTATCCGCTCTGTGGCTCTCATCTGCCGTGTTTCGGACGGGCCCGTTTTCCCCTTCCGAACACAGACCACTTTAAGCTTATTACGCCGTCTTCTTGCGTTGCGATCGCCTGACTGGGATCTCGGCCTCAACTATCTCTTCAGAGCTCTTCTTTCTTTTCGTCGGCGCTGCTGACTCTGTCTTTGCAACGCCCTTCTCTGCGATGTCTGACAGGGGGCCATCAGGCGCTGGCTTTGGCTCAGAGCCCTCCTGCTTGAGAAGGACGTAGGCTACTTTCTCTACGTCTAGGGCGGAAACGTCGAGTCTTCTCATGAGCTTTCCTACTTCGATGTTGAGGGACTCATACTCCTTCATGTTGTATTTGAGTGATGCTTTTTGGCCTTTGTTGCACAACCAGTAATACCCTTCATCGGAGAAGAACATGACCCTCTCAGAAAAGTGTACCGCAAGGAGAAGCGAAGCAGTCGCGGGGCCAATGCCCTTCAACTTGGCCAGGATGCCTAAAGCAGCTGAAAGATTCGATGTACTTCGGTAGCTCTCAATGGATTCCTGGATGGTCTCTGCAACAGTCGAAGAATCGTTAGATGACACGAATTTCATCAGCGTCGGACGAAATTTCCCGTGGCGGCTGCATCAAAGATATTAGACCACGCAATTCTTCCAATCACGACAGCAGCTCAGAGGCACATGATTCAACATGTGCGCACTTATGCGAGAGGCTTGGAAATGGGGCTATGCAGCGGTGGACCCGACCGAAGCTCCGCATGTACATCGGAGGGAAAACGTGTGATCAAGAAAGTTTTTGCACTCACAGCTTCCATTCGACGAGGATTTTTACGTCGTCATGGTTCATTTCGCGCTTCGGTCCATCTTGCGAAAACAGTGCCGGCGCCTCGACAAATCGGAAGTGATCCAATTCTTGCAGGATCTTTTGAGCAGGCTTGGCTACACAGAGGAGTCAGATCTCTGCCAGCAAGCTAGATAACAATGCGGGGAATGTGCGCGATCGAGGGCCGACATACCACCTTTGGTGGCCGAAATGGATTTGATGAGGGGCTCGTAACGCGCAAGCAGACGTTCAAACTCATCAGAAGACAGCTTGTCTGGTGACACAATCTTGGAGGTCGCCATGATGCGTAGCGTTCTTTGGTGTTTGGTCAGCACCACGGCTGAGATTGCGAATAACGGGTTTCTCAGTTCTCAGAGATGCGTGGAAGAGATACAGCATGGCCACGAGCAGGCTCTATGAGGTAGCTGCAGCCTTTCAGAGCCAAGTTCACGCGACCCTGAGAGCAGCGAGGTGGTGGATTGGACCGCGCTGCCAGTAACCTCTATAGCATCGAAATGAGCCAGAGCTCACTCGGTGAGCAATGTGGTAGCTATCGAATAGTGCCTAAATAGGTAATATCTGGGCTCAGTCCTACTCGGAGGCTCGTGGTTGATGGAGGGGCGGAAAGCCGCAGTGGATGCCGAGACGAGCCTGGTCGGTCAGAGGAAGCGTGGAAGCTGTAACTCTATTGGGGAACATGGGTCCGTTGAAATGAAACAATGCCAGGCAGCCAGGCATGTGAAAACGGCTTCTATAGCAACATTCCTAGAGCGCTACAAACAAAATCCGACCCGAACATTTCCCCCCCCGCCCTCAGTCAGTCCCGACCCACCAAAAGGCTGTCCCGTCGGTGAAGACCACAGGTGGAGACAGCAACTGGTAAGCTACTGGCCCGACAGGACCGTGCCCAAGACAGTCTGGAATGCCGATCCATGCAGAAGCGCTACGGGGTCGTCCGAGGGGCATGAGAGAGAGAGGGAAAAAAAAAAAAAAAAAAAAAAGGTGCCAACCGGTCTGCACCCGCTCTTAACTGCTTTCCTTTCCTCACTCCTCAAAATCTGACGAGCTCTTCACGAACGCTACCGACCCTTTGCACTCGACAACCTCTCCCTCCCCCCCAACACGATACTACAACGTGCCTCCAATTCCGACACAGATCATTAAGATGGGTAACGTATGTGCATCCAGCGGCCCTCCCCTCTCCCCCCACCGGTGATCAGGGTCCGGTGGAAACAAAATGAGGGGCAGCGCCGAAGCCGATGCTGACATTTTGGGGTAAACGCAGGGCGCAAAGGCTCAGCAGAAGCGTGATCGCAACGCCAAGGACGCGAAGCCCAAGGGCTCTCAGCTCAAGGCGGTACGTACAATTCATTCGCAATACCAATCGCTTCAATCGGTACTTGTGACCAGGCGACTGACACTACTTGCGACCAGAATGCCGCGGCCAAGGATATCCAGTGCCAAATCTGCAAGTCCACCTTCCTCAAGACTACCAAGGCACCGGCGTAAGTCACAACCTCCCGCCCCTTCCTCCTACGTGACTTTGGCGTTTTGCGATTCAGGGTATTGACATCGTGTCCTTGCGAAAGTCTCACCGAGCACGCCGAGAACAAGCACAGCAAGGGTCTTGCGGACTGCTTCCCCTCCTTTGTTGCCGCATAGTTTGATGGAGAGAGAAAGAGAAAAAAGAGCGAGGTCATGAACAGACTGGAGTTGCAAGGAGTTTTCAGGGACGAGCATGACGGTTCGACGTGAGGTTGAACAGACGATGGGCGGAGTCGGTCGAAGTCTGGCCCGGGCATGAAGCGAAAAGGCGTAATTTGGAATTTTGCCCTTTTTAATTTTCGGAAAATCAAGAAAACTACAATGCAATGAGTAAATGCATATTTACTACAACATGTGGTGCTCGGCAAGGTCGAGCGCGTCTGTTCTCCTGGCCTGTGTGAAATTACTGATTTTATACTGCAGGTTGGACTCTGCGCGGGGACAGTTGATGAGTTCCCTTGGACCCGAGACTCTATCCAGGCGCTACCACCTGGAGGAGAGAGGTCTCACACGAGGCTGAGATATGTATCCCTCCGCCCTCAATGCGCTGGAACAGGGACCGACGAAACCTCCAATACACCCTTCACATCCGCGCCCTTCTCCTCCTTCCCCCCACTTCCGCCGCCAGCAGCTCTAGCCTGCTCCTCGCGAATGGCGGCCAGAATATCCGGATACCACCTCTCACCGACATCCGGATGACTCTTGACCCTGTTCCTCAGCGTCGCCTCCCCAAGCGTCTTCGCGACCCCGCCCTTGCGGAACGTAAACTCGACGTCGTCGAGCCTCGCCCCGCCGTTCCTCTTCAGCACCAGCCGCCTCTGCTCCCGAATGTCCTCGGGCATCCGGCCCACCCCGACGGTCTCCAAATCCTCAAAGTCGGCATCACCCCTCACACCCTGGAAGAACGGGATCGAGAACCGCGCACCCTCGCCGGCGGGCGGGCTGAGCACGCGGTGCGTCGTCGACACGCAGACCCCCTGCGTCAGGGCCTCGAGCCCTTGCCCGATGGCCACGACCAGCGTCCCATCGACGGGTGGTGCGTCGATCCACTCGCCCCGGACGTTCTGCACCTGCAGGCCGCGGTGGTGGCTTGCCTGCAATAGGTAGCTGCTCAGCATGCTGTCCTTGTGCGGACCGACCCCTTGCCCCTGGATCCCCGGATCCGTGATGCCGAGTTCTTGCAGGTCGGGGTACTTCACAATCTTGAGCTTATGCTGCTGGTTGGCGTCGAAGTACTTGTTGAAGGCGTCCGGGGGCAGCTTGATGGCCTCGGCGATGAGCGAGGTGAAGGCGATGGAGACCTTGCCCATGCGGTCCATGTACTCTGTGAAGGTGGCGCGGAAGCCGGGTAAAGCGGATTCGGAGGGCCACTGATTCGGGGCCAGGAGGTTGTAGTACAGCGGATCATTCGGCCCCGGTAGCGGGTGTTCCGTCGAGAGGTCGATCTGTTCGCGGTGGTCTATCTTGCCCGCTGTGATCTCCGCCGAGAGTTGAGAGTATCCCAGGAAGGACTTGGCATTCTTCATCTCGATTTGTAATCTAGCCGGGATGTTAGATCGCCTGAAAGCCTGAGACTGTGCCTAGAGATTGACTCCCTGGACCAAAGGAGCTCGCTGTACTTTTCCTTGGTGGGTATATCAAAGAAGCTCTTGCCTTCTGTGATTACCCTCTTGAACAACTCGTCGGGAATGCCAACATTCTTGAGGTACAGAAACCCGACTTCCATGAGTGCATGGCGCAAGTTGATGAGGAATTGGGGTTTCGTCTCGGGGTCCTGCGCCAAGGCAAGGTCGAGAATCGGAATTGATGTGAAAGACATGGTTTCTCACTGCTGCTGTCTCATAATCTAATGGAATCCAACGATCGAGATCAAAAGTCTAAGGTTGAGCTGCACTAAAAGCGACACAACCGTAGGAACTTTAATGGACCGAGTTCGCGTATCACTTAGTATTGATTTTGACCACGGATTCGCTGTATATCAGTGGTATGATCCGGATAGGAGGAGGCTCCAGCATTAGCACGCCGCTGTTAAGTAAGCCGTTGTTTGAGCAATTGGGCGACGGGATGGCGTAATGCGGGCGGCGGGGCTCTCACCGATCAGCTTGCCCCGCATTTCGGCGCCGTGAGGTAATGTCGGTCATATTCACTATGTCGGCTCATGTTAGTCCTCATAGGCGCCAAAGACGAGATTGATTTAAACAAGCAGCGTTCGTTGTAATCGATGGCCGAGCGCTACGATTCTAGCCTTTACTGGCAAGGGAGTATGTCGGCTCATGGTCCTACATCATGTCATGGATAGCTTGGTTTTTCGCATTTTCTTGTCATAGTAAGTCAGGTGTCTCTCAATGTCATCCGATGATGCTCGCGCCATACACATGTAGCGGAACTTGGCTGCCAAAAGAATGATTTCGTTTTCGAGAGAAGCCGCGAATTCGAGTCGGGTTTGCCTCTTTTTGTCATTCCCTCTCGTGCCCCTCAGGAATTTCATAACGAGCTGCGAATCCGGAAGAAAGCCGCCCACCATTGGCGCGAACTCAAGCGAACCTCTCCAGAAGATACCCTTATTGAAGATCCAAATGCTTTTACTACATTCTTCTATTATCGGGTATAATGCACATAGATTGACAACTTTTGTTTAGCCGTTTCATGACCCCAGAGGCTTCGTCGCCAACAACCCCGTCACCTTATAGAACATGTCCTCAACCGAGGGCATTGCAAAAGCTGGCGCCGCATCAAACAGCTCAGCTAGCTTTTGCCTGTTGATGACAGCCGGCTGGGCGTCGTCATCGTCCAAATCCATCTCTTCTCCGTTGACAGCCTTTGTCTCCTGCTCATTGTCGCTAGCCATCTCCTCGTCCTCGATGGCGTCGTCCAAGATCACATCTCCAGCAACCGGCTCACTATCCAGCTGCATGTCCTCCAGTGGCCTTGAGAGAGCGACGGCGGCGGGATCCGAGGCCTCGGCGACTGTCCATAGTTGCGCGGCGTCGTCGACCGCGACGAAGCCTGACGAACTTCCGGTTGAAACGAGACTGGTGATACGGTGGGGGATCCGCCTCACGCACAGCAGCACAGGCTCCTCCGGTTTGAAAACTGCAAGCTGCGACGCTTGGCCGCCGGGCACGACGACAGCAAACGTCCGCGATTTGCGGTCAACAGCCAAGTGACTAAACTCCCTGACTGCCGTAGCGTTGCGGCCGCTCGGCAGCTGGATGCCATATTGCAACTCGTCGGCGACCACATCAAACACTCTTAGGTCATCCGAAAGAGTGATGATGTACGGGGACAGAACCTGAAGGCGGCGAATGTGGCCCTTCCACAAGTTTTCCAATGTTGATCTGATCTCACCAGTCTCGGTATCGATCACGTAGATGCCGCCATCATTTGAGTTGCCAAAGGCAACAAAAAGTGTCGAGCCGTCCTCAGAAAAGCACAGGCTGCCGCTGCGCTCACCCGTCACCTCTCCGGTGGTGGTAAGTGCATCAGCTCCCACGTTGCCTCCGAGGCCCACGGTCACGGTGCATGACCACGAGTGCAGAGCCTCACCAGCGTTGTCCTTGGACGCGATGCCATCTTGCTGCCTTGTTCTTGACTGCCATATCCGCGCCATACCGTCATCTCCAAGGGTGGCAAATCTATTCGTTGTGTGGTCTGCTGCAAGGGCCAGGACCGTCTCTGGCCGACTTGTAACGTGCGGGCTGTTGATTCTCGAAGACAGGGCAAAGTGCTCTTCACCAGATGTGGCAGACCAGAACTTAAGGTAAATCTCGCGCCTTTCTCTCACAAACTGCTCACGCGCTTCTGGAGCCACCTTCTCAACGTCACGCTTAGGGGGTTGCCAGTCGTCAACGGTCGCCAGCCACCTGCCGTCATGCGAGAACGCGACGTGGGTGATGCGAGGTTCTGAGATGGGATTGCCCTTTGACGTGATGTTGATATCTGTCGGCTGGGTTCTTGCCAGAGCTTGCTTTGAGATACTCCGGAACGACTCCATATCGAATGATTGCAACAAGGGTGCTGACTGGATTTCGCCAGCCAGCATAGACTGCTGGCCCGTCCCAGTGCACACATACAGTCTTGAAGGCTCCGCAGGGTTCAGTGCCGCAGGAACCGGGTGCCGCACCTCATCTGACACAGACCAGACACGCTTCACGAGCAGGTCCTTTGGCGTAGAGGTAAATCGAGCCGCCGACTGAATACCCGAGATATACGTCGATGGCTTCATCTCTGCCGTGGATAAGACCATAGCAGAGTTGTCGTCCAAGTGGACTGCGTAGGATGCTCCAGTGGGAGACACAACGATATTTTCTATACTTCCCGAGAGATGGGGGAGATAGTCCCTCCTGCCGGTGTCCATCTGCCAGAGCACGAGGACATTTTCCGAACCACCGGAAATCATGTATTGACCTGGGATCTGTTAGTGTTTGCCTACCAGAGCAACTGGAATCCGGGGCTCTCACCATCCTTTGACCACTTCAAGCTGTGAACAGCCCTCCTGTGCCAGTGAAATTTACGGCTCTGAAGAGCGTCCCTCTTTGATTTTGGTGCATTCAGGTTCTGCAATTTTCTGAGAATGTCGTCGTAGTAGTAGATAGCACCACGGGCACCACCCGCAATCAGGTCGAGGACAAGAGAATTTTCCCTGCTGTGGGTGACTCGAATGTCGAGGGAGCAGATAATATCGGTCGTGTCGAAGGTGAAGAACTCCCACTCAGGACCGGCGCCGGCCTGGGATGACTCTGGCGTCGTAGTACCGACAATGAGACCATCCTTTGTTGCTCCGACAATGACCTTGCCATCGATACTAGAGCGCAACAAGTGGATTGCCTGGTCGACCTGCTTCGTTGCAAAGAGGACCTCGGAGGTGGGTTGCTTGAAATCGGGACCGGAGTATGCGACAACTTCGCCCTTTGCGTGCTTCTTTCCCTCCGAGACGTACAGAACCTCCATCGTCTTCTTTTCTCCCTCGATTTCTGCCACGGACAGGTCCAGAGCCGTTTGCGACTGAGTCCGGAACTCGTCGTAGACACCGGTTCCCTTCTTCCAGTTCACCCGCCAGACCCTGCCGTCGGAGCAAGCTACCCAGAGGAAGTCGGGCTTGAGTTGCGATTGGCGCGTGGCGACGATTGTAGGAGCAGAAGACTTTTCCGCGTATGTATTTTGGACCACCGGGAGCGCGATTCTTCGGATCAGTAGTGACTCGGCTACCGAGTAGATTTGCAAGGATGTGTTGTAAGTGACAATCAGGTATCTGGTCTCATATTAGACCCAAGTCAACGAAGACGTCAGTGAATGCACCTACTTCTCATTCTCGGCGAAGATTGGGTCGATTTCAGCCATTCGGCCGCCCATTGGCAGGGAAATTTGCCATCCCGCCTCCTGGGCCTCCGTGTTCCCAAGCTTGACAAGTTCGGTCTCGATTTGGTCGTCGGTAAGGTCCTTCTGAAGCTGCGAAAGCACGTTCAATGCACCGTCGCGAAGATCGTCGGCGTCGGTATTCCCGTTCTTCTGACCATTTGCCGTACTCATCTTGGTCTTCTGTCGAAGGCGCTTCGCCTGTCCGTCCCTCTCGTTCTGCTCTCTCTTACGCTTCTTGGCATCCTCCCGATTTCTCGGGGTCGAAGGGCCAGCCATGGTGTATGTTGCGCGAAGTCAAATGACTTAGATGTCAACCAGTGTAGCAACAAGTCGGGGGCGAGGAGACAGGGAGGGGGAGCTGCGGCCTGGAGACTTTTGTTTCGTTCGGTAGTCTGGCTCGTTCCTGCTCTGTTTCGCACACGACCCTTCTTCGTTCCTGCTAGAAAAAAAAAGTTCAAGAGTTCCCAAAGAAATTTTGGTCCCGCTCAGTCGCCGGGCCATGCAATTGGTGGAGCTACCCCACAGTCAATACTGATAAGATAAGAAGCGGAGGAAATCACGGACCGACAAATTTTCTGTTCGCAGGATGCCCCGTCGAGCACCTTGTATCGACAGAGGCAGGCCCGAAGTTTCTTTGACGACGGCGACGATTCGGAAGCAAGAACACCAGACCGTGCAACGTCTTGAGAAGCGACGTACGGGCACCGCTACGGTCTCTCAAAAACGAACGTCCAACTGCTACAGCTTCATTTCCGACCTTTGCAGTCAAAATGATTATCCCCGTTCGCTGCTTCTCTTGCGGCAAGGTTCGTGGGCACATAATTGCATGCAATCAACACCCCGTGTCTGACTTGTTCTCTTAGGTCACTGGAGACCTGTGGGAGCGCTACCTCAAGCTCATCGACGACGGTATTACGGATGGGTGAGTCACCACGATAACGACCTTGGGATGCGACCTATGATAACCAATGTGCATGTCAATAGCGACGCGATGGACCAGCTGGGTCTGAAGCGCTACTGCTGCCGCCGTATGGTCATGACCCACGTTGACCTCATCGAGAAGCTCCTCAAGTACGCGCACCCGTCGATCACACGTGCCGGAGTGCTCTTAAAAACTTACAAACCCTACAGGTACACTCCCGACGGTCGCAACGAGAAGAAGATGTCCTTGAATCCGTAAACTCGTCGGAGACGGATTTAACGAATGGAGTTTTTGAAAACATGGGCATTGCAAGGCGTTAGGGAATCTCGAGGGAGGCAGAGTGTGCTACGCGAAGATGAGAAGCCGTGCTCGAGCCGTGACAGCGACGTCGGCGGACGTGTGCTTAGCCACAGATGAAAGCTCCCGTCTCCGATTCCCACGGGTAGCAAGGGCCAGCCGCCTGTGGGCAAACTTATCAAGCGGTGGCAAGAGGCATATCAATCGGCATCGAGACAAATACGGGCCTGGGTGAACCCCACACTATTGAAATGGATGGTGGCTGGAAATGAAATGTACGAAGGAAACCTGTCTCGGAAGGTCTCGACTTTTCAAAGATGACACTGCCCGTCCTTCCGCCGCCCATCATGTGACTGGACAGCATGTTGGATCCTAGTCAATGGATGAACCCTGGCCGGTACTACCAGTCTCCTTGCTGGACGATCTGGGTTCCTAGATCAGCCACCATTTGAGACTTTGCTCCAACAATAAATGCAGGTAGATGAGGTGATCTTTAAGACGGGCATCCGCATGTATAGCAGTGCCACATCCCAACGAGGTTGTAAGGCGTTAGCAGAATCACCGGGTGTCTCTGAGTCTAACGGTAGGGCGTCCTTTTGATGTGGCGGTCAAGGCGTAGTGTAGCAGCCAGGACGAGTAAGTACATGCCAGTGTGTCTGGCCGCTAATCGCTGACCACTTGTGCGCCTTGCTGCGACGGCCTCTCAAAGTGGGCGGTGAAACTGTGCTGGATGGGCGAAGAATATGGTATCTACACGGCCTGTGCCGGCCAGAAAGCCTCAAGCTTCTACCCATCAGTGACGTTGTACAACAGGCTCATCCTGAGGACCAAAATAAGACACAAGGCTCTTCAGATAAACTCTCTGTCCGGGTACACGACCCGGGAGAGCCTAAGCCTGTCTGCCGATTTCTGCCTGGTCCTTCTTTGATTGCTCAATCCTGGCGAGTGGTGACCCATTATTCCTTGTTTCTTCTTCTCGCGTAATGTCCCAAGCATTAACGGGGGACATGGGTCAGCAAGACAGCGGGTGTAAAGTGCTGTGCTGGCCGGGTAGCAGTGGCTAGCTTGAAGACCCGAGGGTCTGGGAATGGCGCAGTGGTGGTTTTTGCCGCGAGATGCACCAACAAGAATTCTGGAATGGGACGATATCCGCCGAAAGTTCATTTCGCGGATGGCGGTGATTTGTCGCAGGGACGCAGGGTATCCGTAGCTCCAACAAGCCTTGGTTTGCCGCATGGCGTTCAGAGTCTGGAGATCCGTCCACTGGACTGACGCATATGCGGGACCAAAGACCGGCTTATCCGTACAGATAAGCAAAAACTCGCACCCGAAAGGTCCACAGCTCCGTAGTATCGAGTTACATTCGTACACAAGTGCTTCAAACCCCGAACTTGAGGAACTGGCGCAACCGCGAAAGGATTCGACTTTAGCGCGCAACTGCAACTGTCAGTGGCTCTCTATGTCCAGAACTGCAGAACTCCGGCTTCCTACATGTCGTACAGAGGGTGGCCATGCCGAATGAGGGAACTGAGCCGTAGGGAATCCGCAGAGCTGCTTGTTGGCGCCTACGCGCGTCGGCCTGCATGCGTGATGCGGTCGTGGCGTCAGGGATACTACGAAGCAAGCAGAGACCCCCCGGCTAGTCGCAGGCCGGCGTTCAGAATGGGAGGGCTCGTGGAAGAACGGGATGGAAAAGATCGCGTACCACGCAGGGACTTGGCTAGAGGTTTGTTCTCTTCCTCTGTTGATATCAGGAAAATGAGTTTGCCGCAGGCGTCGGTAATATTGACATCGTATCTGATCCTTCGACGTGTGGAGGGCAGGGGTGGTGGGAGAATAGTCCGGCCCCTCCATCGACGATCAACGAAGTGGTGCCCGGTCACAGATTCCTGGAGGCTGGAGCTGGCAGAACCCACCGGGTCGCCGGGGTCGAGGTGGTTGTTTTTGCCAAAAATCGTGCTAGCGCTGTGATCAGTCGAAGGCACCTACATGACACCCAGAGCTATCACCGTACTAGGACGATGGCTGGGACGGGATTCTTCAAGAAAATGACGGCTTTGATGGATGATGAATAGTTTGTGTTCAGGCTCAGCAATTCTATGCAGTTGGATGGTTTGCAAAGCGCAGATAGGTTTGCGAAGCGAAATATTGTCAGGTGATGAGCCTGGCTGCGAGACATCGACGGATCGCCACGGACCCTGGCAGGGGCGGGGTTTTCTCGAGCAACAGGATTCTTGGAATGTTTGGCCGAATCTTCCTAACCGTTTCCATGAATTGACTACCGAGGATAAGAGACACCGGTTTGAGGTGTGTGTATTCTGTCAGTCTCAAGAAATAGTTGTCCGAAGATGATTTGTTGTAAGCGATTTTATGCCACCAACGGGACGAGTAAATATCCGGTCGAAAGATTTCATTGGGCTTTAAATCGGGTCCTTGCTCCTCAGTCTTCCACTTGAGAACTTAACGAGCATGCTATGCTCTAGTAAAAAGAAAAAGAAAAAAGAAGAAAAAAAAAGTACTATGATCAAGTTAGAATACTGCCCGACCAGTTAGATGACACAGTCCGGCTAGCAAAGCTGTCGAAGAACGACTCGAACCAACAATCAAAACGCAACCAACGGTGAAGGAGGGATACGTACCCGCCACTAGGATTTGAAGCCGCAACGGGCCCTGGCTTCCATCCAATACTAGTGTATAATGGTATGTACTCATCCCATCCCAGCCACAGTTAAACAAACGGTAGGCTTGGGTGGCCTGTCAGACCTAGCGTGTGAATGAAGGTCGATCAGGGCCCACTTCGTGTCGAACGGTCACCGCAGCGTGGTGTCGCTGGGAAATTCTCCCTCGTTTTTGTTTTCATCCCCCCTACTGCTGAGGAGACGCCGTTCCAAGTCGTCGGAATTCTTGTAGCCATGAATAGAAAAGAGAAGCGGGGATTTGTATACACCAATGCTATTACTGCAAAGCAGAAGTATGATGCGTGACATCTACATTCGCTCGCGAATCTCCTGTTCTTGCACCCTCCTGCGGACGATTAGCTTTTTGTTGATGGAATAGACGATAGAGAAGTAGAAACTCGGGTAGGAGTACATCACAGACCATCTCTCTCTCTCTCTCTCTCATACGGCAGACGGGCAGCACTTGGCCCGACGTCTATTGACTTGGTCAGGCAGATTCTGGCGGAGCGGGCAGTACCAATCAAACGTCCCAAGTTGTTTCGGACACAATGTGTGGGAGGCGTGGCTTTGTTTATTTTGTGACCGACGAACTCCTACCACACTTCTCCAAGTCCTTGTCTAGGATCGAGGGCGAGGTCATGCTCGGTTCCGTTGCGCTGGAGCCGGCAAATGGGGTTGGAATCCACTACAGTCTGCGTTGCCCGATGAAGTGAAGAAGTGCTGTATATCTGCTCTCAATCCCCAACAGAGCTCTCCGCTTCGCAGACACACATTCCCACCAGGGCGGCAAACAGGGACCGAGACTGGCAATGAAGACGGCCACGACGACGGACAGGCAGAGCCGTTCACAACTACGCACGCGCATGTCACGGCCCCCAAATGCACAGTACACAAGGAGCTTCAGGTAGCGTGACTGACTTTCCGCGACTCCATGACACGGCATCTTCAGATTGGCCCGGGGAGCTGCCTGGAGGGGACGAGACACTCTTGGGGGAGGTTGCGAGAGATATCCGCCTATCCAACCCCGATATGCGAGCGGGCACACTGCACGCAATCAGAAGGGGGACAAAAGTCCCCATCCAGAAATGCAGGCGGCGGTCGATACCGCTGGGGCCCAGCATACCGGCTCGGTCTAAGCAGCTTGTCTCTGCCGGCCTCAGTTTCTGGTCGGTGACGGAAGAGAGGATTCCCTCCGTCCGAAGAGTTCTGAAAAGATGGTCTGAAATTGAACTTGATGAAGAGGAATTTCTTGTGAAAGTCACCCACGTCAGAGTCGAATTGAGAACGCTGGAGGGTACCTACCTTAGCCTACCTACCTTAAGGTATTTGATAGCTCCTTAATGTCACCACGCTCGCTTTCCCTAACATTTCAATTAGGCCAGCCTCGCCACCCAAGGTCAGATACATTTCTTCCCTCCCTGCCTTACCTACCTAGGTACTCTGTAAGGTAAGGTAGGTATCTAACTTTCAGTTCCGCAAACAGCCACTCAGTGGAAGTGACTTTGACTGATACACCTCAAGCTGAGGAAGGTACTGCTGGCCCTGGATCTTTCCTTCGTGGTCGGGCGCCCCTTGCCTCTTCATCACTCACCCCCTCCGAGCTTAAGGCAACCTACCTAATGAAAGCCCCTCCGCTCCCAGTGGGGCAGTCGAGTGCAGGGGTCGGTTGTGGTTCACTGGATGAAGCGGGGCCCACCTTTGCTAAGCGCCGACGCCTGTCTGCTTTATGCAGCCCACAGCTCAACGTCGCTCTCCTCATCCACCGACACCACGTTGTGCTCATCTCTGACTGGTTGAACCCGTCAGGAGGTGCGCTGCTGTGCCCATGGGAGAAGACGCGCAGCTGCACATCTGACTGGTCCATCCATCGCCGTCGACATGCTGGCCGGTGCCTGTCTTAACCCTGGCCAAGTTCGCGGAGTACCCAGGGAAGGAGAATGCGCAAAGTGGTTGTAGTTGTGTCCGACTGAGGTGCGGTCGACGCTGCTTGTGGATTGGATCCCGCCTCGTGGAGCTCTCGTCTTCTTGAGGACCTCGGCCTTTTCTACTTCAACGATGTGGGCTATTAGCGTTCTCCCCTTCATCCTGTCGGATCACTCTCCTCTGCTCAACTGCCAGCGAACGCTACGACGATCCGTTTCTGCCCCCCCATCCCCCTCTGATTCATTACATTACCATGTGAGGTGCCTGTCCATAGGGCGGAGCGGGACTCGATCAACCACTCAGGCAATACACAAATTTCTGACATTTCTGATTTGGCTCTCCTTCACAACTCAAATCCAGCTTGTCTTGCTCGTTGAGAGACACATTGAACACCCAATATCACTGTCGGTTTCCTTAACCTGCAGCCATAACGAATCCTCGCCGTACTGTTGGAGGGTTGGCTTCTTTCTTTACCCGTACCACCGAACCGCCCGCCTCTGTGCCACCTCTGTCTGTATGGTGGAGGTTTGAAATCCACATCAACCGCGTCGTCTCAATCAGCTGTCGGCTGCTCTTCTGTCTGTCTCTTCTTTCATCCTGTCAACTTTCGCTTCCCTTGCCCGGCTGCCCGAGACCGCATAGACGACAAAGCCAGCGGTGGAGTCGTGCTAGTCATCTGTTTGGTCGAATCTTAGCCGCAGCTCTTTCTCAACCGCCCTTCCCAAGGTACGAGCATATTGCGGCATACCTAAGCTTAGTCGCACACACAGACGCAAAGCTCTCAGCCTGATCTGGCTCTCGGAAATTCTCCAAATTTCTCTCATCCAGGCGGTAGTCGCGTTGCCCGCAGGTCGATCCAACTCGCCTTCTCCATATAATTACCCTTCAACCATTAGGATCGCTAATTGGGCACCCCTGCTGCCAGAGCAGACCCGCCGCGACGCATCGAAACCAAACCTGGCCCTGTCGATATTTCGCGTGAGCGAGGCACAGACAGGTCGGCCTGGAGCCCCCCCGGTCTCCCTACCGTTGCTTTCCCAGCACTGAGGTAGTAGTAGGCGCAGCTCCTCTTAAACTGCCCTCCCCACCCTCTCGCTCTCGAGCTTCTTTACTTTCGAGCCTGCTGCTGCTAGCTTGGAAGCTTGGTGATCATCGGACCGTCGTCTACGAGGCCTTCCAGCACAGCTTTCTTCCTTCGCCTCGACGGCCTCTAGGATTACGACCAACACCATTTAGCCAGCGCGGTCCAAGGGTCGACCCAATCGAACAGAAAGCAAACTATTTGGGGCTCCCGAGGCATTCTTTGGATTTGACAGCCGCCTAATACCAGTCTGCTGGACAGCCCGGTTGACTTCCATCTCTACTTGTGTCAGTGCCGGAACGTTGTCGCATACCAACTGGTCGATAGACTGACGATGGCACTCGAAGCCCCCCTTCGTTCGTCTATCGGAAGTCAAATATCTGCTTATTCCCATCATAACGACATGTCCGTCTCATCTCCCGATAACGGCTCTTTTCAATCACCTTTCGCCAGCATGTAAGCTATGACGGTCATGCTGTACCGCTGTGCCCCAGCTAACAAATGAGTATAGGTCTTCAAATGCTTCAGACCACTCCGGCCGCAACGCTCTGCGCCCCAACTCCATTCAGAGGGTTCCGTCGACAAATTTGAATCTAATGAGCCCGAGCGATATTGTTGGACCTTCACCAGTCACCTCGACTGGTACTGAAACGACGGAGATCGAGGACGAAGAGGCAGAGGAGGTTCAAGCCCGGCCTAATGTTACCAATCCGGCACCACATCCTCAGGTTTGTCTTCCTAATGAACATCTGGAAATGATATCTGAGAAACAGGCAGCGTTACTGACAAATTTTAGCTTATGATGCTCTCGACGAATATCCCCGATCATGTACGGCAGAGTAGTAGCGAGGAGGCCGTATCAGTCATACATGCGCCGGAAAGCTTTCACAGCTGGGTAAGCATTGACTAGAACACTTTTTGAAGAGTGGCAGAGGCTGAATTGAAGTCAGGCTTCTACGGAGCCGACAGTGAGGCCAGATCAAAGTAGCACGAGATCATCCCCCAAGACCGATACCATGAGTCTTCCATCAGTCTCAGATCATGCAGTCAAGGTACGGCTCCCTGAAGTCTTCAACTTTAGGCAACCTGAATACTGAACTAGAGTAGTCGAGATCCCCTGGGCTACCTACTCCGCCTCCCCTTTCGACAGATATCAGACCCGTTCGGTACAGCTTGGACAGCGCAACGCCACGCGCGCAAGACCTACACGACATGCTCACTGAGTCTTCCCGGCTTAGGTCTAGCAGCACAAGCAGCCTTGAAAGTTTGTGTATTCCTGATTCTACGATTGGACGGTCTAACACCAGACAGAGATCGACGAGGCTAGAGAAGTAGAGACCGATGCCGAAAACTACGACGAGGAGCCTTTCGCCACCCCCGCCCTCCTGCAAGAAGATTCCGAGATCAGAGCTTTGCGAACCGCCCTTCAAGAGTGCTGGACTCTATGTAACACGCTAGCCAACTTGAGCTCAATTCACCGAACACGGATGTTCAACAGCTCAGGCACCCCTGATGCCCACGAAAAAGCTTGGATGGCTTGTTGGAGGCTTTGCCAACGCCTGTACGACAACCGTGACGAAGACCACTATGATCACCACGTCCGAGAGAATCTGGATCACTGCCGAGACTTTTGCCAGTCCCTCTTCGACGTCCGCCAGAGGAAGGATGAAGTTGCTGATTCTGTTCTGAGAGTCAGTTTTGAACTGAACAACCAGTGAGCTCATCTCAGGGATCGACAGGTGTTGGGCAAATTTGCTGACCGTATACCAGCCTCTATAGTGCCCAGGATATCCAGAATCTACCGGAACCTTTCCGCGAGCGTACTCTAGATTTCTACATCACTCTTTGTCATCGATTGATGAAACAGCGGAGCGAGCTGGCCGATGAAACGGACTCTTTGCTGAAGGCATGTTGGTCGCTTGCCGAGATGCTTTTTAGTTTGAGACAGAACAAGCGGGATGGAAGAGCGTCCGACGAGGAGCTGCTGTGTTCGGCGGTGCAGGCCTGCTGGGAGCTTTGCGACCTTTTCAGAGACGGGTGGACCCAAGTCCGACCAGACAGAAACACTCCTCGACCAAGCCAGACGAGCTTCTTCGGCCACCAGCAGCAGTATGACCAACCTGCGCGAGGCGAAAGTAGAGCATCGAACCGGTCGTCCTACTCAAAGAGGGAAAGCCATAAGAGCCTGACCGAAGAGCGGCCACGAAAGCCACCACCAGTACCTGAAACTCCCGTGACTGAGTTCGAAGACACACCAATCTCCCCAGAGAGCTCATCCCCTCGAGTGCCGAATATCCTCGTTCTTGGCGCAACATCAGACAGCGGGCGTGGGGGCCGGTGGTCAAGCAGTGCTTCCCAGCTGTCGAGCTACTCACAAAGCAGCAACAAGACATCCAGTACAGCGACAACAACCACGGCAGGCGAGGACAGCAACAGCAGCCGTATCAAAGCTCTCATTATTAAGGCGGCCATGAATGTGGGCTTCACTCGGGATCCGGCTCTTGACAGTAAAGCCGAGAAGTCAGCACTCCAAGCCTTCGTCAAGCACATGCCCACGGGATCTTTCGGCTCTCTCCCTGCGCACTCAACGATGTTGCAGCACTACAAGAACCTTGTGCATGCCGATTCATCGTTTAGAGGATCTTCGCTGCTGCCGGCTCGTGGAAAACGCATCTCGGCGCATGACCTGGCCAAGAGCGTCCACTACATGAGCCAGAGGTCCAGCCAGTATGCCTTTCTACGCGATCTCTACAGACTCGTGTTTGGCTTCCCACCTGAGGAGGGTGAGTCGAGAAAGTCGACAACCATTGCCATCTGAATACCATTTTTATTCAAACATTTTCTCGTTTGTCTTTTAATGCATTGCTCTCTGAAATTTTACGAAAACACTGTTACATCCTACTACACCACACACACAACGGAGAACAGAGCAGCGGGCTTATTGCAAGGAATATTCTGCTTGGAGAGGCCTGACTTTTAAACACACAAGCACGCGCACAAGCAACATACAAAACGGCATACGACATACCTGGAGGAGAGCGCCCGTCTGTTCGTTTCTACTGCACTAGATACCCATTGTGGACGGATTTCGGCGCCGGGAGCTTGGGCAATGGGAGGCTAGAAAATCGTGCGTCTTTTTCAGATTTCGATTTGAGAACAAGGGAGGCAGGGAGCGTCGTTCGTTACATTACATGTCACAATGGATATTGTGGCCAATATGGAGGGGAACCATCTTATAGCCTATGTCGCAATGACCACCAACTACCTATCTATCTAACTGCAAGCTATCGTGCCTGCGCACCTATGTTCCAGATATAATGAGGTCATTTGCTGAAAAGAAGGTGCGTAGTGGGAGGAAAGGGCTGTCGTATCGTAAGGTAAGGCGGGTAGGTACTGTGCAAGGGTTCGTTGATGCTCCATGCGACACAGATATGAGTGCCGGAGAATCTTGAGAAATGGTCTGCAAAAAGGAAAGTGCGAACCGCATCTCTACTCAAGAGGACCAAGAAACTCTTGGAAATGGCCGTCGTGGCTCTGTGGTGGCTCTGCACTGGATAAGTCAATTTGTCCCCAGCCAAAATTGTTTATGTCGTCCAAGTCAACGTTGCTGATGTCGCCCGAGAAGCTAGCAACGTTCTGGCCATCAGATTGTTGCTGTGATCTCATTCCAGAGAAGTCTCCCAAGCCTTCTTCATGCCCTCTCCCAACGTTAGAAGGTAACTCAGCGTAAGCATCGGATGCAAAAGTTTGTGGGTACGTCAGAAAGGCTGAGTCAAAGTCGCGCTCCAGCGCGCTGTCGTGAGCTGTCGTGCCCTGAAAGCCGTCTAAAGAGCTGCCCCAGAAGTTATATTCTGCGTCATTATTAGGTGCCTCCAACTGTGCATTCGACATCGATTGGGAGAAGTTGATGCTCGGGCTCGCGGATGGCATCGTTGAGCCTGTTTCTGTCCGCATGGGAACAGCCATGAGATCTGAGCCCTGACACATAGTATTGTCGAAGTACACGGCGTTGTTTCCTACTGGGCTCATCTGATGTTCGAATTCTGAAGGAAATGAGCTATCGTTTGTTAGTCCGTACTCGTTGTCGATACTGTTGAGAAGCTTGGTCAAGGGTGACACACTTGAATCTTTCGCTGCCTGTAGATCGCCTGCGCCTGTTTCCTGGTTCGTATGAGGGCTGGGGATCTCGGGTATAACCAAGTCGAGTAAGCTCAGTGACTGATCGTCTTGTCTTAATGCCTGGTGTGTCGTGTTGGTATTCGGAATCTGGGGCGAATACTTCAGGGAGGTCTTCTGGGACAATGAATCCCGCAACTGGATCTTCTGGCGCTTCGTGGTGCTTTCTCGGTGCTCTTCGTCCACGGCAGCAGGCACAGCCAAGGTTTCTCTCGTTGGCAAAAAAGACCCCGAGCCTTGCTTCACTTCTGCAAGCCCGTCCCACTTTCTTTTCTGCACTTTAGAAGGCTGGAACATTCGTTCGTAATGTTGTTGAACAGGTTGTTCACCATACGGCCGATCAGGATTCATCTGGAACAGCTCAAGTATTCTGTTGTGTGCTGCAGAATACTCCTCTGCCGAGAAGAGCGCTTGCTGATCCTGTGGTACTTCATCCTGCTGCTGCTGATGTTGTGCCTGTCCAGAGGATGAAGCCAGGTTCATGCGGATGTCGGTGGGAGAACCGTGTGTATAGTTTTCCATTGACTGTAGGTTTTCACGCATGGAATAACGGCGGTCCGAATTTGACTGCGGCTGGTCTGTGGATGATTTCCAGGACTGGTCGCTTTGATTGTTCGAGCACTGGGCAGGCGTATCCCAAGCTTCCCTTAGTTGGTTGAAATTAGTCAGTTGATCATAGCTCACGAGGCACTGGACTGACTCACTGTTGTGGTGATTGGGCTGCCGTCTTTCTATTACCGCCATTGTCTGGGACCTTTCCGTTGATCATCGCTGTTCTGCCAAAGAGTTGTTAGAAAATTGCATTGCTCTTCACATCTTCCTTTACTTTTTAATCAAAGAAAGTGAGCAGGGCCAGTGACATAGGCCCAACAACATAGCGACAAACCCCACACGAGGAAGAGAACTAACCCAAATTCAGGATCATGGCCGTATTTGACCTTGATATATTTAAGTTGAGCCATTGTGAGGGGCTTGCTGAACTGCTCTTCGTACTGGTCCAGAATTTCTTTCGGCTTCTCTCCAGCGAGACTTTGCTGGAGGATGAAGATGATCTGTTCCTCGGTGTAAGTAATTTGGCCAACCATCTCGACGGTCATACGTTTTTGCGCAGTATTTGGTGAGAACTCAGAGGCGTTGGAGGTTGTGGGTTGTGGTTGTGTTCGGTTGGTTAGGGAGTCTGCAAGAGAAAGATGGTTTGGAAGAGGTGCTGAAGCGGAGGAAGAAGGCGCTATGAGCAAGTGATTCATGACATATATTGCGGCAGGAGCCACGGGGCGTACTTGCAAAGGCAGTGATTCAGAACCGCAGATGTTCGCGGAAGGTGGAAGGAAGTTCTCCCGGGGGAGGCAGCCTCGTGAGCTGGGCACGCGACGCGACGGGTAATAAGTTGGGATGGAAGTTGAAGTAAGCCGCACTTTGACTGTCGTCTGTCAAGGCGCCGAGTCATCTCTCTATCATTGTAATTTAATTGTCTATATCTAAGTCTAAAAGGGGGGCGCGCGCATCCGGTTTATTATCTTTCGTTCAGTTTTTGTCTTATTCCGCCTCCAAACTCGCTCGCTTTATCGGATTGATCCTCGAGTTATCATGCTTGTTGCTTGCGCGCAAAAATCCCCCACCAGCAAGTCACCTGGGTGCCTTCCTCGTCCTCGCCCCAGTCATCCTGGCCATCGAGGGTTCCCTCCTCGATGCAGTTTAGGGGTCGTCCCTGGCTACCCATAGCATCTCTGAAAGTCTTGAGAAGCTTCTTGGTCGTTTCATCTCGCAATGGGACCATCACAACTGCGCGGGCATCATCTTCGATTGATAGCTGCTCAGAGAAAGCCCCCGCCAGAAGTCCTGGATGACAGTCGTCGTAAAGAGGATCAGCAGCAAGGACAACCTATGTACTGACTGAGCAACCTTTCTGTAGGCAAGTCTCAATGGTCACGTACCTTGAACTGATTTCTTTTGAGAAAAAGTGTTTGATCAACCTCATCATTCCCCGAGCCACCCCAAGTAAGCGCACCAGCGTCCAGTGAACCTCCAAGCTTCTCCACCGTGGCACGGTTGGCCTCGACATTGTGCCAAAGATTCGACATGATATCTGGCAAATCGCTGAGAAGAACGTGAGCCTTCCACAAGGCTGCCGCCGCAATTCCGAGTAAGCCTGTGCCAGAACCTAGCTCCAACACAGACGGCCGCGGCTCGCCGAGCGATTCATCGAAGAGCCGGAAGAGAGCCGTCGAACCGATGGATGGCAAGTGCTTGGCAAGAACGTAAGAAGACCCCCAGGTCTTGAGGCCCAGTGAATCACCGGTCAGGGGTGGCTCTCGAATAATGAGTTCGAATGTCGGCGTGAGGTCCTCCTCTCTAAAGGGCCACCGCCGCGTGATCTCGCCCATTGCTATACTCTACATCAGAGGCTTTACAAGTTTGAAAGGGAATCAGCCCTTTCTACCACATACCTGTTCTTCCACATCGCTCTGTCATCCTGCGACTAGCCTCTGACCAGATTTTCTCCTTCTCATCGTCGTCCTCGATCCAGGAGAGGCCGCTCTTGATGATGGATGATAAATACATCGAAACTTCGCGCCGGAAATATGCTGTGGCTTCTTGTTCATGAGCGATATCGGACCGTCTGCGTTTGTGACTCCATACTGGAGGGCTGAGTTCCAATTGCTTCAGTGTGCTGAGTAAATGATCACTTGACGGTTTCTGCCACATCTGCGGAAGATCCTTCGGTTCGAGCAACATGGTTGCTGATTTAAAGTCTACATGCGACTGTCTACAGAGTTTGCCCAATTCATAGAAAATGCAAAATAAGGGATGGCGTCGACCAACAAGAAATCCAAACAGTCAACGAGAAAGTGAGAAAGGGGACATGCGCCTCAGCGTCACGGAAATTTTCTGTGGCGGTCTAGACCTGCCCGAGGACCCCATCACCAAAACAAAGCGCAGGAACCATAGGTACCTTACCTTAGGTAACCTGGAAGGCAGCGTCCGACCGATAAGAATCCTTATCGCCAAGTTCCGTGACCCAGAAAACGTGGGGTCACGATCTGGCAGGTGGGGGGTTGCTTCGAGGGGTCTTTCGTCCCCGAGGTATCTACCAATATAGGTAGCTCACTGATTGGCTAGCCTCATTTGCAAGGCTGCTACTGGAGACCCATGCAACCCCACGTCACAAAAAAATCATACATAAAGTGCCAATTTCCGCGCAGGGTTGAAGTCCAGTTCTCTTTTTCCCTTCTCCAAGCACCGTCCTCTTCAACGCTGCGTTTCTATGCTACAAACGGAGAGATTCTCGCGCAAGCAAGAATCTCTCATTCTATCAAACTGGCATATGAGAAATTCGGAGTAACTTCTTCACACCACTCACCCAATGTCGCCTGCCTAGTGCGGGATGACGGGTCTGCCCGCGAGGGCCTGGCGTGATCTCACGTCTGCAATTGGCATCAGAAAAGCAGGGCCCGGGCCGTCCTCTTGCATACCCTGAATCCCATTGGGAAGAGGGGGAAGATGAGGTCTGGACTCCGTGTTCCTTTGGGAGAGCCGTTGCGAAAAGATTGTGCAGAGCACTTGAGTGCGATACGCAGCGTCTGGGCCCTGGCCAGCTTCGGCTGGTCAGAGACTTGACAATTCAATTCCGATCATTCTGTTGAGGACGGTGCTTCACCTTTTTTTTTCTCAGGTAAGATAATATTCCTCAGCAATGTCATGCCTTTTGACCAAGGATACTACTAACAAACATGACACCGCCTAATCATGCAGTCCATGTCTCCAATACCTTATCTCAACCTCCAACCATGACCGACGAGATGACCACGGAAACCAATTGATGCCTTCCCCACCAGTAAAATTTCAGCAAGAATCGATCGACGCCGCAGCAAACCGTGGCCATCGCCTGCTGCATCGCCCTAGTACCTGCTTCAAGATCCTGACTGTTCGTCGTTCTGTCCATATTCGCCAGCGTCATTCGAACCCCACGAATCGTTAGCCTCCTGAGGCTCAGGCTCAGTGCTTCTCATGTTTCCCGCCGGCAAGTCTCGCAGAAGGGGTTTCCAGATCTCGGACTGGGTATTGGCTAGAATCCGAGCTCTGTCGAGGCGTTCCACCAGATCTTGACAAGCGAGGTGATCCTTCGGGGCTTTATCGGCTAGGTCGACGGCTTCTTTGACCGCATCAATGATGATTTTGAAGTGGTGCCTGGCTTTGGAGTCTTTGTCGTGAAATGTAGATGCTGGCGACAAATTGTTGATCTCGGCGCGTTCGAGCGATTTCAAGCAGACCTTCACCTGCGCGACTACGGTACTGGAGTTGGGCGCCGGAGAAGTTCTTTTCTCGTCTGCCTCAGTCTGTCGTTCCTCTGCATCCTTCGACAGCATGTCGACCCAGAGCCTGTTCAGCGTCGTTTGGCTTGCGAAGACCCTAATCTTCGCGGCATTTTTCTGGAACTTTTTGAAAGCGTTGTTGTGAACTTTGTGTGCAGTGTCAAGCTGGGAGCGCATTTGATTTAGCACTAGTCTGACCTCAAGAAGGCGACCCTCGCGGGCGCGTTCATCGGCATCCGTGTCGCGTGGGGCCTGTCGAACAAGCGACCGATTGTCATCGGTTCGCCGGGCACGGTCGGTCTCGTCGCCGTTTTCTCCGCCGCGCCGGCCCTCGTAGGTTCTGCACTCGTAGTCATCCTCTCGGTACCGTTCGCCCGATTGAGGCCTCATGTTCGGCAAGGTCTCGCGGTAGTGCGGCGACCACCTGATGTTTGGCAACGACACGTGGAATCCACCAAGATCGTACTGCGAGGGCGGAGAGTACCGCGCTGAGTAAGGCCTCCGGGGCCGGTTGTAGAACTGATCGGGCCAGCTACAAGACATTGCCCAAAGAGACGATGGCTGCCACTTTTGTACGTGGCGAAAGACGGTTGCTTGCGTCGGCTTGCAGAAGGGGTTGGGACTGTTGCTCTTCGGTGCTCAAGAGTCTTCAGCCCAGAGCTGTCATCTGGAGCAGACTCGGCCATATTTGAATGGTTGGAGCCTAGGTTCTTTTGGACTCGGCTCCGTCTTGACCTTCGTCTTTTGAAAGAAATTTTGACCTGTCCAGGAACGGGAGTCCGCACGTCGATTTCTGCAGCCAGACATTGGATTGGGCTCAAAGGCATTCTGATCTGCGTCTTCCCTTCATTCTGGCACTTCTCATCCATCTTGTTGCATGTATTGCTGCCTGCCTGCTTGCAAGTTTCCGTATTGAAAGACTCACCAAACATAGGGCCGTTGCCTAATTGCTTGTCCTCCCTCTCAGAAGCAGCTCGCACCAAGTGAGGCAATTGTCTTGAAGGAAGGATCAGAATGTTCAGCTCTTTGCTGGCGTGACTTACATGGAGTTGGAAACTTTCCCCTCAGGTGGGATAAACAAATCACATCACGCTGCGGCCGAGATGGAAATAATATAAAAATCTTGAAAAAATATATTTTTTAAAAAATTTCAGCTAAGCGCTCTTCCATATTTTTCCTGTTCTCCCCATCCAGAAGCTTGCCATCTCAACAGTCCTGTCTTTCACTTCGTAATCATCTCAGCAAGCATGGCCGACGAAGATGGGCCTGGGTGACGTCCAAGGTTTAAAATTCCGATTTTGGACTTCTTCACTTCTCACACAAACCCGTGGCCACCGTCACCTCCAAAGAACCCCCGACCCCGGGAAAGGCTAGAACCAACGGCGGGCGGGCCAGAGAGCCGGCGTCAGTGTGGGGGGTTTGGAGCAGAGGTAGGCAGGGTGGCAAGGTATCCGTACCTAGGTAGCTTGGCAACCCGACCCTCCCACCCTTCTGGTCCCGCTAGTAGGGAAGGTAAAGTCACACGAACCCGCCAACAAACGGAGAGTTACGGTATTCAAGCAAAGATCGCAGCTTTGTCCGCGCGCCCTTGCCTCCTCTTTGCTGAGAAACAAACATCGGATACGTCTTCGTTGGCGCTGGTTAAAAAAGGGCAGGGAAAAACGGGGTTTGAAGAAAAGACAATCCATCACCTTTCACTCATTGAACAGGTCCCATCGCCTCCCTCGCTGGCTTGGTGGGTGGCGTACGTTAGAATTGCAGGTTCGTTTGCTTTTAGGTTGTAGTTTTCCTTTCCGTGGTATGCGCGCAAAGCCGCGAAAGGCGTGGCTGCTGTAGGCGCAAGCAAACAAGTACCTAGTTTGCGTATTATGATCTTAAACTTTGCTAAGCCTTTGTGGGCAAAGTCAGTCTAAATTTCTTGTTCATGTGCTGGTTGGGTCGGGATTGCTTGCTTGTTTGCCTGCAGGGAAATCCTAGATCTTGATCTGGATCTGGAAAAAAGAAAAAAGAAGAAGAAGGAGAAAATGACTAAAGAGAGACCCAAGGATACCTAGGTAGACTGGTAGACAGAATACGATGTTCTTGGTTCCTGCCCCACACCATCTTCAACAAGACTGAATCGAAGTGCCCTTTGAGTCTCTCGACTTGATTTCCTATCTGAAGACACTGACTTCTTTGATCAAAGTACAGCAAGGCCGGGAAGGGAGGGAAAACTCGGATCAAATGATGGGGGACACATCTCCTTGCTAATGCGCCGGGTTTCCCATTTCCAACTACCTAATTGCCGACTAACTTCACTTTCATCCTTTCGATTTCAAAACCAAAACCAAAAACCAAAAAAAAAAAAGAACAAGGAAAAAAAAAGGGTTACAGATGCTAGAACAATCCACCGCTGACATATCTGCTTGACCGACGATTCCCAATGGAACCTAAGCCATGAAATAAATTGCGGGGAGCTCTGGTGGGTACGCTCAAGTCCTTTCAAGTCTCCATGAAGCCCACACTTCTCAAGCGGAGAAACCCCGCTGTTGTGCGGAACGGCTGGAAGCAGACGGGGAACTCAATGTCGCGACGCCATGGAGGAATCTAAGGGACGGGAGGAAAGATTTTTTTGACTTGGCCGCCACTGTTTTTCAAAACTGCAAGTTGCCGCGAGTGCCCTCCCTCTATGAATGAGCAGCAGCCTGCAAACCCGAGCGTTGTACACATGTTGTAAGCGAGTCTGGAGGGGAGGACCAAATAAAAGAGATGAAGGAGCGGCGCACGGCCGTTTTCGACAACACAAACAGCCAAGGATTCGCAGTCTGCAGCCAGGCGGCCAGGCGGCCAGGCGGCCAGGCGGCCAGGCCAGGCGCGGGGTGCATGACGTTGATACCTTTGCATGAACAAACATCTCATCTACGGCGATACTAAGCAGATTCTGGTACACAACAGACGTACGGTCAACCAGAGCAGCAGGGCATCACCAGAGCAAATCACTTCACTCCAGCCAAGAAGGCAACTAAGTCATTCAGATCACTGTCATCTTGATTTTTCTGTTTTGTGTAGCTGACTACCATCTGGTATCAATCAAAACGACGAAGGTAAAAAAGTGAGTATCTCCAAAGGGAAGAATCCTGGCCCGTATCCACGGTGTTCCAGTCATTTAATTTTCCCCTCCCGAGTCCATGCAATCCTATATGCTGGTCGCCAATGCCCGTTCTGTCCCTTTTGATGCACTCCCAGTCCAAGTGAAAAGAGAGAAAAAGAATTGGAAAATCATTTCGCTGTTGCTGATGCTTAAGTGGCCGTCCTGTCTGGGACTCACTCGAGATGTCTCAAAGAGTTGTCGCTTTTTCCAAAGAAACCCCAAAACCCGTGTCTTTGCCTTAGCCTTTTGAGCTGTGGCCTCTTTAGCCGTCTTCTTCGTTGATGCATTCCTCTTGTCAAGCGGCTTGGATTTGTCCGCCTCGGTCCCCTTCTAAGCGACCGCGATGGCGGGCGGGCATTCCCTGTATATCTCCGTCTTCAGGAGCTTCAGTCGCTGGCGCATGTCGAGGAGATCTGCCATCTTGTCCTCAGGTGGGTTGCGCATGTCGGCAATCTCCCAGTGCAGAGCCTCATACTTTTCATAGAACGCTTTGAAACGCGCGGCTTTGCTGACCAGGTCGGGGCTGAGCCCGCGCTGACGCTTGGGGGCTGGCTTGGTCCGGGCGCTCTCGTTGGAGTCGGAAGATTCCATGGCCTTGCGCTTCTTGGGTAGTGCTGAGTGTTCAAGATCCGACGCATTCGTTGGCGGTGATGATGCCAAAGGCGAAGACTTCGCCGGCGATGTGTTTTTGCTCTTGAGAGAAACGCCAGATGAGTTGCGGGATGAGGCATGAGAGGCATCAGCGGGCCGTTGCTTGAGGCTTACGGGTGCCTTGATGGGCACCTTGGGCTTCGCACGCTTGGCTAAGGGGGCGCCAGAGCTTGAGCTGCTGTCTTCTGCCTCCTCTTCCCTCTGTCGTTTGGCAGGCTGTGGTTTGGCCGCCTTGCCAGTCTCTCGCGGAGGGTGAGGCGACTTTTCCTTGGGCCTCTCAACTGATCTTTCCACCGTCCGTTCTACTGGCTTCTCGACCGGTCTAGCTTTTGGCTTGGGCACAGCAATCTTCGGCTTTGGTGGAAGCGTAGACTCCGGCTTTCTCTTTGGGGCGGGTGCGGCCGCAGGCGCTGGTCTCGGTTTGGAAGCCACAATGCTCGCCATCGGCTTGTCCTCCGAAGACTCTGAATCCGAGTCTGAGTTGGTAATAAACTCTGCAGAGAGAACCCGCCCGTTCTTGCTAGGAGCAGGCCCCTTCTCCTTGGCTTTCGTCGGCGCCGCCTTTGGCGTCGCGGGCTTCTTGTTTGTTGACAAAAGCCGCTTGACTTGGGAGTCGGCAGCCTTTTTCGGTTTCGGCGGTAGTGGGTTCGATGATGATCGTGACATTGTTTCGCCAGCCTTCATCTTGAGGACGTCTTCGTCGCCGTTGTCGCTTGTTGCGTCGCTGACCTTTATTTTGGGAGGTGGCGCAGCGGAGGCCTTGGCAATATTTGCCTGCAACTTGCTGAGGATCTTGCCCTTTCCTCGCTCTTCTCTCGGTAGGAGCTTCTGCCACTCGGTTTCCGTTGTTGCTAGCCGCATCTTATCAAATTGACGAATTGCATTGTCGATCGCCTTCTGTCGGGTATCTTGGGTATCATATTCGTACTTCCACACGTCCAACTCTCTCCAGTAATTCTTTCTCAATGCCCACATTTGCGTATCCGGCTCAAACTGGGCCACCTTTTCCAGGGCAGGCTTGAAATCTTCGTCTTTGCCTTCCCACAGGCTATCCAGGTAGTCGGCCGGCCGCTCCTGCACCGCTAGCTCGTGTACAATCATAGACCTTTGCTCCTTGGACTTCTCGACGATCTGTTGCGAAGAAGCGTAAACAGAATTCGTCGATGGTGAACTAACGGCTACCAGAGCCGGTGACCCCGAGGGCGATGACTTGCCGCCACCGTTGCCGTATGAGGCCATGCTCGAAAGTAACTTGGACTTTGCCGTCTTCCCTGCGGCCTTCCGATTGTTGCCTGGCGGCAGCCTGTCCAAAACCTTTGATCTATTGCCATTGTTAGTTGTGTCACGACCACTATGACCCAACCACCTTCAACATACTGCTTCTTCGATGCTGTTGCCGCTGCAATGGAATTCTGCAGATTCTCTATATCTGAGTCCATACCGGACGACGAGGTCGAAGGTGCACCCTTCGCCTTGGCTTGCGCTCCCTTCTTGGGACCATCGGAGCCAGGCAGCTTCTTCCATAGTGATGAGGTTTGTGGTAGTCGTGTAGCTCGTTTCGTCGACTCGAATGGTTTCGTGAGGAAGAGGTCGTGTGAGAATGTCGTGGAGATCGGAGAGAGGGTGTGGGAACTGGAGCCATAGAGTAATGTCTTGAAAGCGAAGAAGCATTAGCATAGGTCAACGGACGGTACTTGCACTGGCAGACGGGAATCGTTTGTGTAGGCATCAGACAGTAGCAGGTGTCCCAGACGGGGAGCGGTGCACCGCATTTTTGCCTCGAACGCAAATCCAAGTGCCAGCACTTCTCGTCGGGAAGACAAATGAATGATTCGGCGAGGAAGAGCGAGAAAGCCGGCAAAGAAGGGGTTTGCGTAAGACTTACCGGGCTGCTCCCCAAAGACAATTGGAGATCCTCACCACCTTGTACACACTTGATCATGTCTTCGAGTACATGGTCAGAAAGATTGATGCAGAAGGCCTGTGGCGGTACAAGATTCCCCGAGGCGGTCGAGCTCTCAAGAATGAGGCCGGTTTCCGGAACCTTGAGTGAAGAAGGCATCTTTGGTCTCTCTCGCCCTCTCGGGTCACGCGAATCGACTGTGTTGAAGATTGGTTGCACCTCGCATGCTCCGGTTCAGCTTTCTCTTCCGAAGAAAGATTTCGGAAAAAGGGGAGGAGTTGAGTGCGTCGAGTGTCGAGTCGGGATGTCGTAGGATTAAGAAAAAAAGGGAGTAGTTGTCGATCTTGTTGGTTGAATTGCGTATATTATTCTCGCAGGCGGATTATGGGTCGGGTAGGCAGGACGTCACATTGCCATGGCGAGTCGACTGTAGGTTTTTCCGGCTTCACAAGAAGTGAATGGAGGAGTACGGCGTTGCGGTTTAGGCTGAAAGTCCCCCTTTCGTCTGAAGAAATATCCAAAGAAGGATGCACCACAATAGTAGAACAAGCGAAAGAGTAGCCTCGTGGACAACGGGGTGAGGGAGAGGGTGAGGGTGAAGATGAAGGGAAGGAAGTCGACATCGGGGACAAGAGGAGAGTAGCGGAAAGGAAACACAGGCTGCTGCACAGCCAGTCAGCCCAGCCAAGGTCCCCAGCCAAAAGAGAGAAATGGGCCGTGGGACATGGAGAGAGAGAGGACTGAGGAGAGTGAGTGAGCCCAGGCAGGCCGGACCGCAGCAGGGCCACCCATCGGCAGTAATTAGTGTTGATACAAATGATGGTACTTTGAAACGATGGTGGGTTGGGCTGGAAGCTCGCTGGAGAAACCACTAAAGTCCGCTGGAGGAATCCAAATTTACTGTATTGACAGCTGTGGCTTTTGACGGTAGTAAGTACCTGGTTGTGTACCCACCCCCATGCGAGACAGGGTGTCACGCCTGGCCAATAACGGGTACTTGGCGTGTACTTTGCTGAGTTCATCGGCTCAGTCTCTAGAGCGAAGGAGGGAGGGGGGACGGGGGAGGGAGTGACTGAGCAGAAGAGGAAGAAGGGGACCCACCCTAGGTGCGATCTCAAGGGCAGCCGGCTGCTCTGAGTGGCTGGAGCACCGACCGTGGCCGGGGGTCTGGTCACTTTGGCGGACGCCTGGTGCCTGTACCTCTTGTACCTCTGACCTTTTTGACCGAGGCGACAGGGGTGGTCGGGGTGTGCGAAATCAACGAAGGGGACGATCGGTGTTGCTGTACCTTGCACAGAAACCAAGGCGACCAGCCCAGTCAAATCCATCTCTCTGGAGAGCGGGAGAGAGACAGACAGAGAGAGAGAGAGTGTGTGTGTGTGTATGCCAAAGAGACGGAAGGCAAGTGATCAAATTCATGTAAAAATGGAAACTCCCAATCATTGAGTCTGTGCTATCCTATTCTGTTCTGTCCGTCTGCCACGATGAAATGGGCACTCGATACAGGCCCAGCTCTGGAGGGGGAAAACACCTAGAAAGGAAGACCGAGGTGAGGCCTGATGGAGTAAGACAGTCGACAGGGTAAGACGGTGCTTGGCGTTCTGCTTCGTATGAGATGTGATTGTGAGTTGGATCAGTCAGGGCCAGTCACGCAGCCGTGGTGCCACATGGGGGCAAAAGAAAGTCAAAAGGCGAAGACATTTGAACGGTGGCCGCGAGACAACACAGAATCAAAGGCACCACTTGCGCGCGATAATGTGAGGTGAGGTGGGCAATAGCCAGACCCAACTTCCCAACCCGACCCGCGCGTAACTTGCGGCCTATGGAGAATTTGGAAAGCATTGGGCGTTGGCCAGGGTTACGCGACAACTTCCGGCCGGGGGCTCAGCCCAGGATAGCACCCGACAGCGGGCGGTCCCTCATCTCGTTCCATAATCCATTTAACCTTCACCGCATGCCTCTGAATCTCTATTTTCCTGCCTCCTCCTTCTCAGTCTAAGCTATGCTTGTTTCCGAGTCACGGGGTCCAGGTCCAGGTCCAGGTCCACATCCGCTTTGACCGAATGACATTGACAACTTGAGCAAAGGACATAAAGAAACCGTAATGGATGTAAAGAAACTGTAAAACATACTGTAATCAGCCCAACTGGTGAGATGAACAGCCAGAAAAGCGCGAGGCAACCTGACCATCCTCTCGCCCGCATCGTACCGGAAAGTGGTGACTTAACTTCGTCAGTGCTGTCTGTCACCGAGTAGGGAGGTGGTATTCCATGGATATTTTTGGCCTTGACTTTTCCCTTTCGAATCCCATAGTTCCCCTGTCATTAAGCAATTGGGTCCGTTGACTCACTCACCTCTCCGTCTTGTTCCCACTCTTGCGAAAAGTCCATTACTCCCAGTCCCTACCCTACCTGCCCCTTGTTCATCGTCTCCCTCCGTCTCCATAGCTTTCATTTTGCTGTTATGATACGATTGATGAGAAGGGAAAGAAGGGGCACCTGCTGGTGGCTGCTCAACGGGAAACGGAAACGGGAGCAGGCAGCATGTGGCAAACCTCATCTGTCGCCTTTGTTCCGTCGTTTCCAGGAGCCGCCGTCTCTCTGGTCTTGCTCTTCGATGTCTTTGCTTCATGTTTCTATTCGTTGGGGAAAAGAAACAGCGATGCAAACGTCCGTTTGTTCGGGGCCCGAGGAACATCTTCCGTCCATTTATCCTTTGCACCTACAATCATGGGAGTACGACGCGAAGGGCAATCCGTCCAAACTTGACACACGGCCGCGAACCTTAGGAAGGGCTGGATTGGCGGGCAATCAAGGGCCAAACCGCTTTGTCCGGTCCAGCCCAGTCCCAGCTCGACCGTAGCTAGTGGATCTGCCACCCGAACGTGGCCCTCGCCGTCTCAAATGTAACATTGCTCTATGTTCCCTCCCTCGACTTTTCGGTCCCGCGCCGACCATCGCGCTTCCGCTGCTGCATCTGTCTGCAAGACATCTCATCCCGTTTGGAGAGACACGGATATTCTTGCGTCCGCGAACAGGCACTGCTGAGAGCGTTGCGACGAAGAAGTCGACCCACCTGTGCTCGTACATCACCCACTGTGGTGAGATATCGGAATGACGAGCTTGTGCCTTTAGTTGAGTGAGTTGCTCCCACTGTCGACAATGCCGTAGATTGTTTTCGTAGGGACGAAACTGATCCACTCCCGTGCTACCGTACGGCGCTATCCTTGGGTGGAAGATGGCCTCCTGTCTCGTCCTGGTGTGCTGCTGGCGCTGCCCTGCAGCTCCTCTTTGGTGGGCCAAGTACTCAGCCTGTCCCTTGACTGCAGAAGGCGGCCTGTCCTTACCTGACGGATACACAAGTTCCATGTTCCGACAATGGTGATGGTGAGTGCACTGGGCCAGTAGCGGCTACCTTAGTGCCCCCCCCCCCCCGCGCCAGGCCCTGAGCAAAGGTAAATGTCGCTCGCTTGATGGATTGATTCCCTTGGCAATGAATGCTGGCTTCGATGTCCTAGGGAAGAACCCGTCACATAGGATCGAACGCAGAACATGCCTCTTGGATACCCTCTTGAGTAATTACCTTGCTGTTCCACGGCGGCAGGAGGCTGAATCGGCTACTGGAGATAGGCGAGTCAGGAAGCGAACGCAGCCTGGGTGTCCAGAAGGCTTCTCTGCATCTTGACCAGCTTCATGCTGACATGGCATGGCAAGGCAAAGCGGGCTGGAAAACCGTCCGCCAATGGTGCTGCCGCTGACTGGCATCGCCGGGGCAGTACGGAGTATTCTCCTTCGCTTGACCTTATGCGGCTGGAACGTGGCCGGCGGCTGGTGACCGGTAGAATTCGTTACGTGCAACGTTGACTACGCTGCAGCTGGTGGGTGTGCCTGAGTGGGAACACCCTCCCTTTTGAATGGAATGTCAACACCGCTATGCCACCACCAACGCCGTGTCCGCATCCGTCCAAATTGGCCGGCACAATCGCCGCCGGCCGAACGGTTCTTTATGGTTGAAGGACCGGGAGAAGATCACTGAGGGGAGACCTAGGTGATTGACTTCAGCCATGTTCTTCTGTTCGTCCAGAAGAAACTGAGGCGTGTTCGGTGCAAGGGCAGAAGGCGAGGTCGTGTATCCGTACCTATACGGATAGTTCTTGAGATGCAGCGGCTAGGTGTGACGAGGGGAAGACCATGTGCAGACAAACCATCCTTGGTCGTCGGGTCACCTCGCCGTCCTTCAAATGGAGGCACGGACGGGCGGCCGTACCTGACCTTCCGATGCTGCAGCTGGTGCGGGCCTCATGAGGGTCCCGATGGATCAACTATGTAGTAGCTTGCGCTTTCACTTGACTGCTTGCTGCGGTGTCCGAGTCACTGACATCACTTGGACAGATTCGAAGTCGCAAGAGAGGCACCGTCGATCGGATGATTGACTGGCAGAAGGCGTCCACCTTCCGGTTGAGTTGGATTGAGTTGATGGTTGGGCTGGCTGAGGGTGAAGACGCGCATGGGGAAGGATCGAAGGTGAGCAGTGGTACAAAGCGATTTGAGGCGGACGACAGGACCAGGAATTGTCAAATCGTCGGCTCCTGGTCTCTGTTTTGGCGGTACAGCTCCGTCTACCACGTACCATTGAGCCAGCGGCGCCCAAGTGGATGGATTGGGTGACGATGTGCTGGGCTGCTGGGCTGCTGGGGGCGCGGGACTCGGGAGAATCATACCTGACTTTTGGTTGCAGCCACGAGGTCTTGTACCGCTGCAGTACCTATCTGTTCCTAGCTGTGGATACCTATCCTGAGTGGATCCCGTCTGGAAATATGCGTTGTTGCAAGTGCAAGTACGTATCCGTAGACGTCAGGAAGTCGCATTGGGAATCCCAGTCAATCCTTCTATTGATGCGGTATTCGTACCTGGGCGTCTCTGATACGAAGAGGTACGGACGACTCGAGTGCGGCTTGCGGCTTGCGGCGTGCCCATGTCTCTTTCCTCGACAACGCCTCCAAAGCCTTGATACCCCAGCTGGTGTTTCCCCGGAATGAAGAAAAAGAAACTAGAACCCAAATCGTCGACGGTGAACGACGCTACTGACAACTCCTCGCAGAGATCGAGAAAAAAAGGAAGAAGCCAGAAAAACAAATCCTTTCCCACCCAGGACCCCTG